CCTTCTGCTCCTTTACCTTTCTGCTTCTTTTGCGCCCTTCAGCTCCATTCTCTTTCCCATCCCTTTCTGCTCCTTGCGGACCTTTTCTACTCCTTCTCCTACTTTACCTTTGTGCTCCTTGCTGTCCCTTCCTGCTCTTTCTCCTACTTTACCTTTGTGCTCCTTCTGCCCCTTCAAGCTCCTTGCTACCATTTTCTGCTCCTTCTCCTACTTTACCTTTGTACTCCTTGTGATTCTTTCTGCTCCTTTACCTTTGTGCTCCTTCTGTCCCTTCTTGCAGACCATTCCTGCTCTTTGCTACCCCTTCCTCCTTCTTGCTGACCGTACCTGCTTCTTGCTGACCCTTCCTGCTCATTTCTGCTCCTTATCCTACTTTACATTTGTGTTTCTTCTGGCCTTTGCAGCTCATCGCTGACCCTTTCTGCTCATTGCTGCCCCTTCCCGTTTCTTTCTGCTCCTTCTCCTACTTTACCTTTGTACTCCTGATTCTTTCTGCTCCTTCACCTTTGTGCTCCTTCTGATTCTTTATGCTCCTTCACCTTTGTGCTCCTTCTTCCCCTTTCTGCTCCTTGCTGACTCTTTCTGCTCCTTGCTGCCCCTTCCTGCTCCTTGCTGCCCTTTCCTGCTCCTTGCTGACCCTTCCTGCTCATTCTCCTACTTTACGTTTGTGCTCCTTATGCCCCTTCCAGCTTATTGCTGACGCTTGCTGCTCCTTGATGTCCCTTCCTGCTCATTTCTCTTCCTTCTCTTTTCTGCTCCTTGATGTCCCTTCCTGCTCATTTCGGTTCCTTCTCCTTTCTGCTCCCTACTTTACCTTTGTGCTCCTTCTGTCCCTTTCTGCTCCTTGATGCCATTTACAGCTCCTTGCTGATCCTTCCTACTCCTTCCTGCTCCTTGCTTCCATTTCCTGCTCCTTGCTGACCCTTCCTGCTCCTTGCTGCCCCTTATTGCTCATTTCTGTTCCTTTGTGCTCCTTCTCCTAGGCTGCCCCCCATGTCTCACTTACCTGATCTGTAGGCTGCCCCCCATCTCTCACTTACCTGATCTGTAGGCTGCCCCCCATCTCTCACTTACCTGATCTGTAGGCTGCACCCCATCCCTCACTTAACTGATCTGTAGGCTGCCCCCATCTCTCACTTCGATATCTAGGCTGCCCCCATCTCTCACTTATTGATCTCTAGGCTGCCCCATCTCACTTACTTGATCTTTAGGCTGCCCCCATCTCTCACTTTTCTGATCTGTGGGCTGCACCCCCTTCCCTCACTTACCTGCCCCCCTCACTTACCTGATATGTAGGCTCCTCGCCTCACTTACCTGATCTGTAGGCTGCCTCCTGCATCCTCACTTACCTGATCTGTAGGCTGCCCCCCCACCCCTCACTTACCTGATCTGTAGGCTGCCCCCCATCTATCACTTACCTGCTCTGTAGGCTGCCCCCCATCCCTCATGGGAAGCAGGGATAAGATGTAGTTTCCTATCCCGGCCTTTCTTCACACACAGCGTCACCTACTGGTGGTGTATTCCCAATCTGAAAATAAAAATGCCGGCACAAGCTGAAAAATCTCCGGGGGGGGGGGTGGGAGGGGGGGCAAGTGCCTCCCCCTGCCCCCCCCTGTGGACACCCATGTCCAGATATGTGAACTTCGGCTACCATAATACTGTAAATTGGAGGAGTACACTCGCAAATGCTGGACATCATCTTCTGGTCTGGAACACCCTCCTACAAAGAACCAAGCTCAGTATTATATCCACAGGTGGGAATGATACCACCCAGGTACACATATCTGGAGCTGATCATAAAGTAAGTGCTATTCTCCTTATTCACCAGTTATTGACAATACTACACTATATTTCTTGTTTGTTCTCCTATCTTTCATATTGGTTCACCACCACACAAATTTGAGGACCCTCTGAAGGCGCTGCTTGCCTGTACCCTTTTCTTACATAATATCTGTTCAAGGACGGCGAGAAGAGACTATGGTTTGGGAAGTACTTGCTGCCACAGCTACGTCAGACAAGTGCTAGAAAGCTCGCCATTTTACCTATATGTATAAACCTTGACTGAGCACATCTCAACTGGTAGCAGTAAAACAATGAAAAATCTGTTGTTGAACCTAAGGACTGTATGATTTCCTTTAGTATATCTACTGTACATGTGTTACACTTTGACATATCTTTCCATGATTTCTCCTCCTCTCCTTCAGCTTTTTGCAATCTTTGCCTTTGGAAGCTGTGGCTCATTCAGCGGAGAAACAGCAGCTACTGTTACTTGTAAGGAAACAGAAACTGAAACAAATCTCATCTCTGTGCCTTTTGGATATCCATTCAGGTAATAACCACCGAATTATCCCCACAGTAACAAAGTATTTTGTCTACTATAACCTCATCTCTGGTATCCAACTCCCTTCTGTACACTTTCTTTCTGAAACTGCTTAACAATGCTTCCATAACAATACTTTAAAGGAACACTATAGGGTCAGGAACACAAACAGGTATTCCTGACCCTATAGTGTTAAAAATACAGTCTACCTCCATGCCCCCCCTTTCCTCACTAAATATAGTAAAATCTTACTTTTATTCCAGTCTGCTGCTGCTGCTGGCTCTGCCTCTGATCTGCCTGCTTGGATGAGATAATCAGAATTGTTGATCTGATCAATCACAATGCTTTCCCATAAGAGGTTGGCTGAGGTTGTCAAGGAGGCAGATCGGGGGCAGAGCCAGCACAAGCCAAACACAGCCCTGGCCAATCAGCATCTCCTCATAGAGATGCATTGAATCAATGCATCTCTATGAGGAAAGTACAGTTCCTCCATGCAGAGGGTTGAAACACGTAAAGGTAATTTTGCACAGTGTGCAACACTGCCCCAGGAAGCACCTCTAGCAGCCATCTCAGGAGTGGTCACTGGAGGTATCCCTGGGCTGTAATGTAAATACTTCCTTTTCTCCTGAAGGGAATGATTATATTCATCAGAACAAATACCATAAGATGTGGTTGTTCTCGTGACTAAAAGTGTCCCTTTTTTCAAAAAATATCCAACCAAGCCATTAAATTCTAAACTGTCTTGTTTGCAAGACCAAGGATTTAGCTCAAAGGTTGGTGGCCTTTTGATTGTCAGCTCCTGGTTAGTTGTCAATGGTAATTGATATTCAATTACATCTTACACATCATAACATTTCCACCCAAATAATACACAGTCATGTAAGCATCAAAATTATTCCCCACTGCCACTAGAACATGCTTAAAAACAATCATGGCCATTTCGCACGCTCATTGAAATGTCACTTCCACCAAAGTCAGATGTTTGAATAACTCTCATATTATACGTACGTTATATTCACAAATTAATTTCCATTTCATTTTCACAAAACGTGTATATATAGATTCCTTTGTTGACAATGTAAGTTAGATTGGCCAATATATGTAGAATTTAGCAGCCATAGTAGGATATTTAATAACCACTTTTATGTCTTATACAGTCAAGAAAAAGCACATCCATAGACTTCTAAATAAAAAAATAAACATGTGGTAGAGTTATATTTTAGTAGCTCCAATGATTGCCCCTTTAAGATGTATTAATCAATGCTTTCCGTGTCTCAGAATATGCATTCCATGCAAGTTACACTATGTTGCTACAATGAGTATGTCTCCTTTCATCACAGACTGTATCGTCAACGCTATGAGATGCCAGGATGTGCAGATATAGAAAAACGGATTATGCACCTGAATGGGGATTTTTCTGCTCCAGCAGAGTTCTTTGTTACTATCGGAGTTTTCGCTTTCCTGTATTCAATGTTCGCTCTGGTTATCTACCTGCGCTTCCATGAACAATACACACAGATCCGAAGAGTGCCCATTGTGGTATGCTATAGACTGAAAGAGTTCATTTCTGTGGACACAATATGTTAGTATGGTGCCATATTTCTCAATGCAAAACTTGAGTTGAGAGCCAAGTTTAAAACATATGCCTTAAAATTCATGTAGAGTTTCAGATGATAGCACAAGTTCTGCTCCAGAATTACTCTAGTTTTGCCATGCTACATATGGTTATCGGTGAAGCTGACTGATAGAAAAGGTAGTGGCAGACAATTGTGGGAACTGCAGTTCAAGAACTGCTAGAGGGCCCAAGTTTGACATCCCATACCTATAATCTTGTTTCCATCTCCCTGTAGGACCTTTGTGTGACAGGTGTCTTTACCTTCTTGTGGTTGGTAGCAGCTTCAGCGTGGGGAAAGGGTCTAATGGATGTAAAGCTGGCCACTCATCCCATAAGTCTTCTATCACCGATGCCAGTGTGCCAACTGGAGAAAGCCACGTGCAGTACTGGTACTACACCTTACTTTGGGCTCGCCAACATATCTGTGGTAAGACCAGTTGTAGGTCAATCAACACAACTGAACCATTTCATTGTTCTCCACACATAAAATGTATTTGCTGCTTGTCTACTTCACCCTAATTTGTCTACCATTTAATCTACTCACTCTTGTCTTTTCTTTCACCACTCCGCCAGCTCTTTGGATTTTTGAATTTCTTCATCTGGGCTGCCAATCTGTGGTTTGTGTTCAAAGAGACAGCATGGAACAAGCCATCCCCAAACAAGGAGGAATCAGCAGAGCGTGGCGAAGCTGAAGACCGCCAGTGACATCTGACCTTCAGTGGCCACCTACCCTTTCTGTAAGAAATCTTCATCTACAATCAACACTCCACCTGGAGGACTAAGCAAATTCTCTTGATATTTTCCCATCTTCCACATTCTTCTTTGAACCTGACATGTGTCCCGACTCTTGCCCATAGCAATTTGCTATTTCCCATCCCCACCATGATATTTTCAGCACCTCACTCATTACTTTCTTGATCAATAATACCTTCTGCCAATGCCATCCCACCTAATCTGCCTCAAACTCCAGTGTCTCTGGTGCTATTTATTAAATAAAATATTCTCCAGTTTGTTTATGGTTTGTATTCAGCACTACTTTAACAAATGGCACTTTGTACTGGTGCCGCTAGATGGCGATGTATCCCACGCTTCCACGTGATCTGCTGGAACCAGGAAATGGTGGAACCAGGAAGTGGGAGCTGCTGTACAATAGACGGATATCATCCCTAATATCTCTGGCAGGGAACCAGGAATATTCACGGTACATAGCCATGTGTATGGGAAGTGGGCTCTGGGTGTGTGTATATTATTACAAGTGTCAGTGTCCATGTTGTGACAAGTGGCCCATACAATATCATCACTGCTAGCAAGGTGCTTCATTCAGCAGGCTTGTCTAGTTACATTGCATTCAGGTCTGTTTTATTTCCTGGTTGATGCCAATAATGTTCATGTGGTGAAAGCTAGAGGACCTTCACTGTAAGATTCTTATACTTAGTTGGGTATTATAATATCTGCTGCTAGGGACAGTCAAGTTAACACAACCTTGCATCCTTTAGTTATACTTTTAAGTCATTCATGTATCTCCCCTCCACCCCTAAATAGATTTTGGGGGGTGGAGATAATGCTGTTGTTAGGAAGAGTTGTTGTCATAATATACTAATATAAGTTAACTGTTGTCTTTATTACTACCAATAAATGATTAAATGTATTATAGCATTTTTGTTTATAGTATTGCTACCAATGGAAACCAAAATATATACTAGGAAAATATCAAGCTCCCCTCCATTAAAGTAACACTATAGTCACCAGAAACAGCTAGTAATGTAGTAGTTCTGGTGTGTATAGTCTGTCCTTGCAGGCTTTTCAATGTAACACCTCCGGTGGTAGTCAGGTGCTTCCTGGGTCAGTGCTGTGAAGTTTTGCGTCTCCACGCTCTGCATGGAGCTTAAAGCAAAGGTCCCGCATGGCACTAGGATTTACACCTTTTTAACCGGGGATCTAAATGGTGGTTTCAAAACTACAGTGTCAAGAATACATGTTTGCATTCCTGACACTATAGTGTTCCTTTAATATTGCATACACAATATAACCTATCTCTCTCTCTCTCACCCCCCCCATACATACATACACACACCCCCATGATAATATGTATGTGTGTATTTTGTGAAAGCATGTTTATAGAAGCTTATTTGTATTTGTGTGCAGAATCAGTGTGAATGCAGTTTAAGTATGGTTGACTGCAAGGATACATTACAGTGCATTGCAATGTGCTGTGATTAAGTGGATGTTTTGTACTGTGTACATGCAGGAATGTATTTGTACAAAGGTTTAGGGTTAGTGAATGCAGTTATCTATTTGTGCTTAGGCTTCAGTTCACTAAGCTTTCCAAATGATTCAATATTCTTACAAATATTCCCGTAGACTTTAATCGTGATTTCTATAGGTAAATCATTTGAATACATTTCTAACTGTATTGAATAATTTGGAAAGCTTATTACATCGAGGCCTTAATGTCTGTGTGTGCTAATGCAAACGTATGTGTATCAGTATGGACTACCTGATTCTTATCCTCACAGGATTCTTGTCTCCACAATTCTCCTAGCTTACAACTCTTTCCTCCTTTGACTCCCCCACCCCCCTGCATAAGTAGCCAGGTTAGGTCAGTATAAAGAACGTAAAAAGGTATTTTATGTAAACATTACAAAATAATATAAAAAGACGCTATATTACATGTAATCTTTTATTTCCAGGAATAATAATAAAAGGCAGTATTCGTTTTAAGAAAACTTTATCATGTTAAATTATTTGTAAAACAAAATTTGGCTTTATTTATATGGTTTTTGTTAATGCATATATATATGCATTGCATATATAGGTATGTCATTGCAACTTAAATGCACAGCCAGGCGAAGGAGAGTAATCTTCCATAGGGAAAGAGCTGCTCCCACCTATATATATATCTTTGTGGTCGTATACAATAAGCCGAGTTATAGTAATGGTATAAGTCGTTTGTGGTGTGCCAACCGACATTAAGGTAGGCCTCTAAAAGAGAGCCCACCAAGATGAATAGCTTAACAAAGGGAGTGGTGGGTGGTCGCATTCAGGCAGTCTCAACCCAGAGGAAGGGGAGGTCTGTGTATTTATAGGCCGTGTAACTCCTCCCACAACTTCCCATTTGTGGTTGTATACAATAAGCTGAGTTATAGTAATGGTGTAAGTCGGTTGTGGTGTGCCGGAACCGACTTTCGAGTAGGCCTGTAAAAGAGGGCAAAAAGTTTAACAGTGTAACATTGAATACGTGTTGACATTACATAACCAATACTTAAATGCATGTCTCAATTCCCTCTCAGATTGAGAAATGTATATGGCATATGAAGATGACTCTACTGTCCTAGCCATTAGATGATGTGTACTGGAATATTACTAGAGGTAGTAGGAGCAGTGCGTATTCTTTTAGAATGACCTAAAAATGTTAATGGTTGTATTCGAGTAACTTTAAGTGTTGTGAGCTAGTTAAAGGTTGTGAAAGCCGCCATGGAATTGAATGAGTATGGTTTGACGATTTGATATGCGGAAGTGAGTTTATTGAAAATGGCCAGAGCCCAGCATATGAACAGGTGACATTGGCAGAGAGTGTTGCTTGTGCCAGCAGTTAAATCCTGGAATGTAGGGGTTTGGTAGGTTGTTTGGCCACCGTGGGGAGAGTTCGGAAGAATATGAAAAATTGTGATCGAGTCACCTCCTCGGTTGCTATGTTTTGCCAGCCTGGTATAGGTATGTGAACAGAGTAGAGTTTCTGTGATGCTGTCAGCCGGATCTCTTCCTAATCAAACTTATTATTGTTAGTGAGGGGGACTGACCGGTAATAATTCCCATGCTGCTGATTTAATAAAAGAGAGGGTAGGTTCTGTGTCATTACGGGAAATGTGTCACAGACCCAGTTAACTATGAAATTGGCTGCCATCCAGTGGGGGCAACAGTATTGGTCCAGAAATGATGGACAATGATGGAGTGAACATGGTTTCCCTGTTCTGGTGGGATAGAAAGTTTAGCGACATAAACAGGACTGCTCAAGCATGTGTCGAATGTAACAGCGCTATTGTTGACAGGTGAACCTGGGATCATGTTGAGTGGATGGGAAATTAATGAGGTCCCTTGTGTAAGGTGCATGGTAAAGTTCAGAGGACCAAGGAGAGACTGGAGATCCATATGGGAAACAGGCATCGTTGCTCAGAAAGTATTTCCATAAATTAAAATAGGTGTAGGGGCCAAAGGTTGATCAAGACAGTGGAGTTCCAAAGGATGTAGCAGATACAAAAGACACAACTGCTTCAGAGTATGACATTTGGTTCCATAATCGTTACAATCATGTAAAGAATGTATTACTGAGGGACAGTACTGACATACAAGAGGAGCCTATAGAGAGATTATGCAACTATATGGAATAGTATGGGCATCTCTCCGCTCCAAACGTAAGACGGATGGCAAAGTAGAATGCTCAGTTCACTAAATATTGTGCAAATGCCACTGGGAGCAACTTGAAAATGAGGAATATTCATTTTCCTAGTCGGCCTGCTTCTGTGGCCCTTAGGATAGGCCAAATACCATGGCCAAATGCTGGGAACTTTAAAGAACGAGTAGCCGATAATAAAATTGAGCAGTGGATTCCCATTCATTAGGCTAATATGGCAGGTGCACCCTTAGATAAAGAGGTTGTCAGAAGGACCCCAGAAAGAAACCAATACTTGATCCTGCCACTAATAGTAATTAAGTTGAATGGGTCTTAACTAGTAGATTAGAGATTAGGACAAACCCTAATACCTGATCAAAGTGAAATGATGCCTGTGCGGAAACTTACTGTGAAATCTGTAATTAGAAACTTAACTAGTGGAGGGCAAGTGTGAGTATTAAGGGAGACGCCTCTTAATGACAAAAGGCGAGTACAAATACAGAACAATCAGATTGTACCGTCTGTGTTCCCTAGTTTGAACTACTGACAAGTCTCGTAGCTATATCCATCCAAAGGACAGGGGAACTTACTGTACAGATAATAACATTAGACGAGGAAACATGTGCTGGATAGCAACTGGCGGTGTAATGTTGAGGGGATGGAAGTAAGGAGCATGACGTAGGGTAAGACTTTCACAGTCAAGAGATTCTAAGCATCACTAGTGTCAATAGTTGTTCATAAGGATTAAAGGATGGGAGCCATCATGGACTACATCCCTATCATGCTGTCTGTATTTCCAGCTTGGGTGCCGACAGAGCTAAAAACTGGGGCCTATACAGCATGTCGAAGCTCGGCGGTAAAAGTGAAATGGTACAAGTTCACCAGGAACTGGGGCTGGAATATCCTGGGTTACGGCTGGACTACATGGACTAGGTGGGGTGAAGAGTTTGGCTGGGGAGCATTGCTTGAAATATCTTACTAGTTCTGAGGTGAGCAACATCTACATGTAGAGTAAATGTGACAGCCATGTAGGTGATAGTATAACAACTGGCAGTTTGCATTGTGTCAAATGGCAAAAGATTGGCTAAATGAGAGAAAGGTGAGGTACTAATTGCCAAGTGGCTCTGAGAGGCTCTAGCTATAAATTGGCTGAGGGACTGAGGCCACCGAATAATGTGGCGGGAATGTTGGCCTCTTGGTGACAAGAGATTCAAAGGAGTGGCCGTGACATGTGAGGCCCTATCTAAAAACTAGAGAGGCAGGAGCAAGGCTCTAGCTATGAGTTGGGCTGATGGACAAATACCTCCGCATGAGGATGGGTGTAGGCCTTGCATGACTGAATTACAAATATACAATAATATGGCATACACCAATACTCTTAACATCAAGTTGATCTATCCCTAAGGAATGTAGGGGAATAGAAACGTAATGAATTTAGGGAAAGTATGTTGGAATCTACGTATCCTGCACAACTAGTCTGTGGTTGAGCTTGAGAAAGGAATATCATAGAGACACAAACCTAAAGACACAATGGGAACATTAATGGAAATATGTCCAGTTTGGTGTAAGAGCTTATTAAGGTAAGGATATAAAGTATCTGGTTGTGGTTAAGGATTAAAACATTAACAGGATAAGTGTGGATAGTAGAAACCTAGATAATAATAGAACTTATGATTGTCAATATGGATATGAAAGAGATACCTAATAGTGCTGTGTCTAATTATGAGTTCCCACTGTGGGTCCTTCAACAAGAAGGACCTGAAGTATGTATAAGAAAGATCGGAACCTCTCTAGTTTACTAGCGGGAAGCTACATATGTAAGATCTTGTAAGTGCCTGTGACAGGAGTTGTGGATTACACAATGCTTAGGTAAAACCATGACAGACCGAAGAGGCCTAGTTGTGGTTAAATGTGTAATGATGGGTTCTTGGTTCTCAGGAGTGCAGAGAGAGTGTCGTAAAAGAAGGAATTGTGTGGGAATAACAAGGCTGACAGGAATCGTCAACTATAGTATAACAGGGTTGTAGTTGACCCTTGTAAAGCTGGAAATGTATGTAATTGCAGAAATTGTCGTAGTAAATTGCCCACAGAGGGCTGAATGTAATGGAGTGAAGTCCTAGTGAGGGCCGCGTGTAATGGTATTGCAGTGGAAGGCCAATATTACTAAATATAAGTCTCAAGCTGCCGGGTGTATAATAGGGATGTGCATGGGCAAAAAATTTGGTTTGGTTCGGGACTTCGGTTCGGTGCGGCACTTCCGGAATTCGGGATTTCCCTGACCCTAATACTAACCCTACCCCTTACCCTAACCACAACAACCACTTACACATCTAGGGTTAGGGTGGGGTTAGATTCCTGTTATCATTACCGTAATTTTCCCTCCCTCTCCTGTTTTGCCACTTTTCAGAAATCCAAAGCACTTCGAAATTAGGCAATTTGGTTCTGTTCGACACTTCCGAAATTCGGCTATTCAGATTTTCTAAAGCATCCGAATGTCCAAATTGCCAAAATTCGGACGAATTTACATTCGTAACGAAACAAATTGCACATGTCTAGAGTATAATAGGGTGTATGTAAAGTAATGATCATGGCATGAACAAATGTAGAGGGTAACATCCTGAATGTGGTGTGTGAGTTCCAGGAGCTAGCTAACCTAAATGGCTTTAGTACTAAAGCAGTGATGCTTTAATAAAACAGAACATAGAGGTAAAGTGGTAAAAAGCGGTGGTGGATAATGATAAAATTAATAAAATATAACAATTGAAAAATGTATAAATAGGACTGGGCTGAAGTGCAGCAAGTGTATATGGTGTGTATATCTTTAAATCTGCTATAGGCAGAATAAATTAAAATCGCCATATCTGAATAAGGGCAGAATACGGACTGAACTGCGAATGCCTCCCTAGTTAGTGAAAAGCTGAACATGGGGCCAATACATGTTGAATGTAAGGATGTAAGGAACAGAGTGGCCCAACGCGGGCTGGATGAACAAGCTTACGGTTTTGTTGTAATATACGCACAAACAGCAACAGGAAAAGTGCCCCATGAGCTTCGAAGAAGGTGGCTGTTTTTTTTACTAGAGTGAAGTAAAATGAACACTTGCGTGGTCCACACTAGGCCAAGACCAGCTTATTTGGAGTTTAGGCAGATTGTGTTGATGACCTTCAAACCAGAAGTAGATGGATCTGTACCGAACCAGACAGTCTCAGCCCAGAGGCAGGAGAGGTCTGTGTATTTTTAGGCAGGGTAACTCCTCCCTCAGCCTTCCCAAATATATAATATTTATATAGATAGATATAGATATGCTTTCTAGCTGTGACCTTCTAGTGTTTTCTTCCTGAGAGCTACAATTTTTAGTGGTCCTCGATTGGGAGCAGTTCTTTCCCTATGGAAGATCTCTCTCTTTTGCCTGGCTGTGCATTCACATTGCAATGACTTACCCCATCATCACTTGGCGAGCGTGTGCTTTTGTTTCCTTGTGAGCCATAGCATCAGAGAGAACTGCACAAGCTTCTATTGCGCAAACAAACACATCCTTGCCTGCAGTGATAGCTAATGCCATTGCAATGTTAATGTGCTTTACTTTGGGTGCCACTTAGCACAGTGGGAAGCCAAGACCTACTCTACAAATCCAAAATTCTGGGTGGGTGTTGATGTGGCATCCACTCTGCAGCCTTTTCATATTGTCAGTAATTGACACTGAAAATGTTAATTAAATTCCAAGATGATCATCTACACACAGAAAAGATGCTATCAGATATTGTAGTACTGGAGAACATATATGGTAGATCAGTCATTTTGAAATAATATTGATTTATTTACAATTTCCTGCATAACACCCATGTCCAGGATTCTTTACAGACAGTAATAATACAGTTACAACTTATACTGATACTACAATGGAACACATAAAACATTTATACATAATGAAAAATTCTTAAAAACATATAAGCCAGTCTGATGCTGCTAGGTGGATAATAATGGGATGAAGTAATTGAGTTTAATGAGTTGAACGGATAGGGAATAGTACATTGACTTATTTATGAGGACTCGAATAAGCTTTTTTTTTCTACAATAGAAACATAGAATGTGACGGCAGATAAGAACCATTCGACCCATCTAGTCTACCCAATTTTCTAAATACTTTCACTAGTCCCTGGCCTTATCTCATAGTTAGGATAGACATATGTCTATCCCACGCATGCTTAAACTCCTTCACTGTGTTAACCTCTACCACTTCAACTTGAAAGATATTCCATGCATCCACTACCCTCTCAGTAAAGTGATACTTCCTGATATTATTTTTAAACCTTTGCCCCTCAAATTTAAGACTATTTCCTCTTGTTGTGGTAGTTTTTCGTCTCCTCTTTTACTGTGTTGATTCCCTTTATGTATTTAAATGTTTCTATCATATCCCCCTGTCTCGTCTTTCCTCCAAGCTATACATGTTAAGATCCTTTAACCTTTCCTGGTAAGTTTTATCCTGCAATCCATGAACCAGTTTAGTAGCCCTTCTCTGAACTCTCTCAATTGTTTGTGAATGTTTGAGAGAGACTGGTGATTGGGAGTCAAGTTTGTTCTGGTAGTGGTGGTTATATTTTTTTCCAACAAAAGACTGAACAGTAAAAGATGACCACATGAATAATGCAATAACAAAGTAGTATAGTAAATACAGTTAAAACAGTAAATCCAGATAAGTGGTTGACCAAGATATAATTAATGTGGACTGCCCAACACCATAAGATGAGCGACTTAGAATAAATGAATTCTAAAAACAAAGGGGGGGAGGGGAAGTGCTTCTGTTGTAAAAATGTGGTATGAATACGAATTAAAATACAGATATAGCTTTAATATATAAGAACACAGACTAAATACAATCAAACTCCAAAAGGACAACCTCTTACTGTGAGAATACGATCTAGCTCTACATAAGGCCTGTGAGACTATAATGCCATAGGTAACAACCATAGTCACAGTGTACCCAATGTATAAAAGTAACAAAAAAGTTAGAGATTTTATTTAAACCATGGATAAAAAACATAGACACAAACTCTACACTATATAATAAAAATAGATATAAGTGGAAATCCCTTATAAAAAAGGGGAATTAATTACTTAACAGAGAAAAGTATAAATATGAAAAATGGCGTATAATCACAGTAATTGTATCTCAGAACCTATAAAATCACCCAGCATAAGATAATATATAAAACATACAATAATGCATATAACAAAAAAGTACTTATCTGTAGGTGGCCCCTTCAACGCGTTAAAAATTATGTAGTTAGTCAATGGGGATTCCAGAGGTCCAGATGCCCAGCGAGCTCAACCCCAACTCACAGAGTGCTCATGTCTGTGTCCACTCGAACAGCAGGCTGTGTTGTTTCTGTGTTCTGTGATACTCAGCCTCGATGGGGGAGCACAACCAGCTGGAGACACGAGCCGGTAACTTCAGAAAAGGTTGTGGCTGCCTTGTAGGAGTGGATCAAGCGTCCGGGCGCGATCAAACAGATGGACCAGAAATCCACGTGTTTTGTCTCTGTATGAGACTTTATCAAGACCGTGTGTGTGTGTGTGTGTGTGTGAAGGGTGCAGTTTGTGTGACAGGTGCATAGGGTCTATGCTGTGTGTAGGTGGGTGAGGTGTAAAAACTTATCTTAAAGTCTCCCCCTCCCTTCTTCTTACCTTTTACCATGGAGGGGGGAAATTATACTGCAATCCCTTGTGGTCCATTGGTGGCATGTTCACTTTAGCCTGCAGCTCCTCCAGGTGCTTGTTGACTCTCCTGTTCTCCTGCGAGCACAGCACTGTATTAGAGCATTGCCATGGTAACGCACGGCAATGCTCTAACCAGTCTGCTTGCGGGAGGAACACAGAGCCTCCCATGCCCTTCCCTCCCTCTGCTGTAACCTAAGTGTCTGCGGGCCGGTAAGGGAGATCTTTGATCTCCTCACCAGTCCAAGAGGACTTACAGCAAGGTTGACTCTGCCTGGGCCGACAGGGGAGAGGAAAGGATCTACACTGCCGGACTTGGTCCACAGCCATTGAGGCCCACGGGGCGTTTTCTGCTAAATTACATTTCATTTGATACATTAGCAGGAAGTCACCTAAAATTTATCAGAACAGCCTCGCACCTGGCCACACCCCTCTCATACTCCTAAAACTAACATGTCTCTCTTTGTTCATTTGATAATTTGTACAGGGGCATTTTAGTATGTTGGGTCAGTGTGAACGCCTGTGTGGATTTTGACTTTTATCCATGTCATTGGTCTCTACTCCACATGAAACTTGCCATCCGCATGTTATTAATGCTCCTTTCCACCAGATGTCAATATCCCTTATAATGCCACTATTCCGCCCCCACCCTGACATGTTTGAGTGTGTTGTGTGTTGTTGTGAGCATTTTAGCAACTCTGTAATGTATGAGAGCCTCTAGAATGATGAGTTTGGATCCCAACTGATTTGGTCCTGATCCTCGCAAATGTTTCAAGTGGTGCTTTATCACATGGATTTAGGGGAGCAAAAAGGGAGTCAGCTCTGAGCCTGCTATTTTTTGCCGCATTCATAAATCTAAATTAAAAAACAAACAAATTTAAGACTAAAAAATCAATACATTTTGAGCCAGTTCATAACTTCAAACACAGACAAATTCCTATTGTGCCTTTAGCTAATTTGATATCGTTGTCAAATGTTTTTGTTTTTTACTTGAATTTTGTGATTCAGATCCAAATTTTCAGCTTAGTATATTACACCCAAAGTATGTGTTTTGTTGTTATTCAAACGTTAACACTAACTCGATATTCCGTCTTGTGACATTTATGGAGGTAAAATGTTCTTTGCATTGCTCATATCAAGTGTTCAGTTGTCTCAATTGTAATGATCGTTCCTTATTTAATGGGCGCTGACAAGCATGTGGTGATTAATGACCCTTTACCTAAGTGTTCTCTTTCATTAGTCGCGATGATAGATGTCTTATTATTCTGTTACCTCCATTTATACAGATGGAAGCAGGTGTGTATTTTAAAAGGTGCTGTTTACCTACTCCGCTAAATGGCACTTTTCTAACTAGCTGAGCCAGTAAATATTTTTTAAAAGTCACGTCAAATTTCACCCATTCTTATTTTTCTTTGTATGTAAAATCCCAGGCACCTAAGATGAACAAATACATCATTTTTTACAGTTTAATTGGTAAAAACAAACAATCAGCCTTGAGGCTTTAATCATGCACAGAAATAAAAATATACAAAACCGTTTAATTAAACACTCCAGGCACAAAAACTGCTTAATCTAAATTAAGTTGTTTTGATACCAGGAGGCCCCTGGAAGCACTCTTACCTCAAGGAGTTAAACTGTTCTCAAACAGTTTAAACCTAAAGTTACATTCCAATGCCAACTCCTCCTATGGCGGCATCCGGCTTCTGAATTTTCAAAGCAAGGGGCGCCACTGATTGGTTGAGAGTTGTCCTCATTCACTAATCTGGCTTAAAAAGATACGTTTCTTTGCAAGCCAGTTTTGTGAATGGGGAGTCACTGATTGGCTGAGAACATCAGCTGACTGCTCTCAACCAATCAGTGGAGCCCATGCCTGACAAAAGAAGCCTAAATCATCACTTCTCCTCCATTGTGCTTGACAGTTTGTATTGTTAGACCAAACAGCATATCCGCACAAATGTGGCGCTGTGCATTATGGCCAAACATCACTTTGGTCTCCTCTGTCCAAAGAACATTGTTCCAGAAGTCTTGTGGTTTGTTCAAATGTAATGTTGCAAACCTAGGGAGTGCTGCCATGTTCTTTTTAGAGAGAAGAGGCCTTCTACAGCAATAACTGACACATATTTGTGTTCAATGATGTCTCACAAGTACAACACTACCCCCCATTTACAGGTTTTATGATATTTTGGAAAGTTACAAGGTTAAATATAGGACTTTCCCCTTTTCAGTTTTTACACATTTAAATTTGCCAGATCGATTTGCTGGGACTATGTTGGCTTTGAGACCATATGGCAACCAGAAATAAAAATTACCCCTATCGTGGCATACGATTTGAAAAGTTAGACAACCCAGGATAATAAGAATGGGGTAGGCCCAGTGTTTTTTAGTAGCCACTTAGTCACAAACCCTGGCCAAATGTATTGTTTAAGCCCACTTTTTTTCCAAGGTGGCATAGTGCGTTCTAACGGCATTAGGGGTTAACCCCTTAAGGACAGCAGGCATACTATGCCGTCCTTGGGGACCCGGTCCTAAACGCCGGTGGGTGACATAGTACGTCCCCGCCTTCCTATGCACTTACCTGCTCGCTGGCAATCCCCCGCGATGGGGGCGATCGCGATGGGGAGACTTGCCTGGCATCCCAGGGAGTCCGTCTGATCCGGTGTTCCAACACATTTCCCTACCTGTGAAAATCCCCTACCCGCGTCACTTCCGGTGAGGGAAATCAGCTGGATCCTGTGCTGCACATGCGTGCTGGCACTGCTCCTACTCCCCCACAGCAAGGTCCTGGAAGATAAGTAAAGCTAGTTTTACACCTTCATTATAGTTAGTGCATTCACTAAGCTTAGGACATGGGACATTTAGGGTTCATGTTATGGTTCAAATTAGGGTTAGGTTTAGGGACTTGTTTTTATTTAGTGATATTTCACATTAGGGGAATATCTATAAATTGTGATTTTTCAAACTTTATTTTAACCCTTACCCCAAGGGTTAGGGTTAGAATAGAGTGTGAGAGAGGTTAAAATAACTTACCTAACCCTAATTTGATCCCTTGCATAACCCTAAATGTCCCGTGTGCCTAAGCTTAGTGAACGCAGTAACTATAATGAAAGTCTAAAACTAGCTTCACTTACCTTCTTGGACCTTGCTGTGGAGGAGTAGCAGGAGTGCCAGCACGACAGCACAGGATCCAACTGATTTCCCTTACCAGAAGTGACTTGGGTAGGGAGTTTTGATGGAACACCGGCCCTCGCGGGCCATGTGAACGCGATGAGGTCGTCATCACATGGACGGAATAGCCGTCCACAGCAGTGCCTGCAGGGGGCCTACCTGAAATGACAGGCAGTCCCCCTGATGCCTGAAACAAAGTTAAATAAAGTTTAAAAACAGTGTAAAAGTTAATTATATATACTTACACACATATATATATATATATATATATATATATATTTATATATGAGCTATTATATATATGATCTAAGTATATGTACAAACATAAATACACATACACTGTCTCTAAGTGTATTTTAATATTAATATATATTATTATATATTAAAATACACTTAGAATGATATTAATTTTACATAAATATATATATAGTTGTAATTTTTATATATATATATATATATATATATATATATATATATATAAAATAATTTAAAAATTATAAATAATAAATAAAAATTATATATACATGTATAATTTCGTTCTAACTGTATTTTGATGATATATATACATATAGATCACAAAATACACGTAGAACAAAATTATATATATATATCTATACTAATAAATATATATGTATAGATCTGTATATATCGACCTATATATAAATAAAAATAATAAACAAAAAAATAATATATATATTTTTTTATATATATATATATATATACACACACACATATTTAAATTCTACTTATATATTTATGTATTATTTTTACATAATTAAGTAATTTTATTAATTATGGTGTGAGGGACCTGCCTGACAAACCAGGTAGAAGGTAACCAGAATTTGGTTCGGAGGCCCTATATTTAACCGACACCATAAAACCTGTACATGAGGGGTACTGTCGTACCCGGGAGACTTTGCTGAACACAAATATTAGTGTTTCAAAACAGTAAAATGTATCACAACAATATTGTCAGTGAAAGTGCCATTTTTTTGCATTTTTCACACACAAATGGCACTTTCAGTGCCGATATCATTGTTGTGTTCCATTTTACGGTTTTGAAACACTAATATTTCTTTTCAGCGAAGTCTTCCAAGTATAACAGTGCAGGATTTATGGTGTGTTCAAAAGTTAGAGAGTTAAATATAAGGCTGGCGTTTCCTGAGTCTCCTGAGTATAACATGTACAGGTTTTATGGTGTGTTCAAAAGTTAGTCAAATATAAGGCTTGCGTTTCAGTTAGGTTGCCTTTGAGACCATACGGTAGCCCAGGAATGAGAATTACCCCCACAATGGCATACCATCTATAAATGTAGGCAACCCAAGGTACTGCAAATGGGGTATGTCCAGTCTTTTTTAGTTGCCACTTAGTCACAAACACGGGCCAAAATTAGCATTAAAATTTGTTTTTTTTCTGCCTTTTTGTCACACAAAGTGAGTTTGCACAGTATAGCAATACCCCCATATGTACCTTTGCCAGGTATATGTGGATGTTGAAAGGGCACATTTGAGATGCATTCAGTTTTTTTACTTTTTAATGTTTTACGCTGTGTCCATGTTCCATTTTGGAGTAGTTTAGCTGGTTGGTTATTCAAACTTCCCCACAAACACATACTCTTTTTAATGTATTTTTTTACTTTTTAACTTGTTTTTACTTATTCAATCTTTTAAACTTTCTTAAAACTTTTTTTACACTTTTAAAATTTTTATAAACTTTTTTTTTACCGTTAACCCCTAACTAGCAGTAAGCAGCACTGACTGTAAATTCCCCAATTTCCCATAACTCCCACACACCCCAGCAGCAAAATATATAATTTTTTAATATTTTAATTAAGTAATGAAATAAATAAATAAAAATAACCCTCAGGGGTTAAAAAAAAATATTCAGATCACAGTATAATACTAATAGTGATCAACTGGCAGGTAAGGGGTTATTTTTTATTAGAACTAGGTAAAGAGGGGTGGGATTTTTTAAAACTTTTTTTAAAACGTTATTAAAACATTTAAAAAAACAAACCTTTTTTTAACATTAACCCCTAGCTAGCCTAACACCAAATTCCACACTAACTTCCACCTACCCCAGCTAGCTAAATATAGACTTTTTAAATATTTAAATTAATTAATTAATAAAATAAATTTAAACTCTGAGGGTTAAAAAAAAAGAAAATAAAAGTTAACCCTCAGGGGTTTAAAAAAAAAAATCAGATCACAGTAAAATGTAATTCAGAAATATAAATTTCAGAAAAGACCATCACATTTTTTAAATTACCCAAATGTGTTTATTTCTCCTTCTTTGCAATATGTGCTTGAATTGTAATGTCATTTGTTAAAATATTTAAAGGAGGACTATAGGGTCAGGAACACATGTGTATTCATAGGAAAGCATTGGATTGGCTGAGATTGTCAATTCTGATGATCTCCGCCAAGGAGACGAGCCAGGAGCGTGGAGCCAAACAAAAAGTGATTCATTGAATTACTGTATCTCTATGAGGAACGCACAGTTTCTCCATGCAGAGCGTGAACGATAAGAGGGGGGGGGGATTTAACTATAAATATGACAATTACAAAAAAACGTATAGGAACGATAGGTTGAAGAGGACCCTGCTCAAACTTAGTCTATAGGAGGTGGGTGTAAAACACAATAGGACAGGAAGCTATAGCATGAGTGAATTGCAACTCCTGTTGGCTTTTGCTTGGTTTACAAAAGTGTTTTCTTTTAAAAGGCACAGTCTGGTCACCATAACCACTTAATTGCATTGTCCCCTGATGTCCCACGATTCAGTGTTATACCTTTTTTCAACATTATATGATTGTAAACTCATTGGAGCAGAGCCCTCAGATATCCCCTTTCTGTAATTGTAAAAATTGTAAAACATGTGAAAAATATGTTGATAAGGGTGCCCATCCACTCATACCCAGGCACCCCCCAAAGTAATGGCTGAGGAGGAGTTATAGTCCACTTAAGCCAAACTAACCTATGCCAGGTGAGTTGGTATGGACCCTCTGTCAACTAATCATTGGTGTGCATCACTGCTTTGACTAATGAGGAAGCAGCTGTGTGGGGCTGGGACCCACATTCACTGTAAAACAAATAAAAAAACTATTTAACACGGAACTGTGAGACGACATCTGGGTACTCCAAACACCATAACCACATAATTTAGTTGAAGTGGTTATGGTATCCTGAGTATCACTTCAGCACTTACTTTTATGTATGAAGAACAGTCAGGGTGCATGGAAACAGTGCTGTACCACCTGGTAACGTGCAAAGAATCTTTGGACATTTTAGATTTCATCACAACCACACATTTGATATAAATGGAGTGAAAGAAAAACAATACCTCTGCAAATAACAGCTGTTAGTGATTGGAGTATGCCCACCCTCCAAAGTGACAGTTCTATTTTAAGTGCCACACCACATGGGATATTAAAGCAGAATTGTCACTTCCCTGGAAGATATACTATTAGAACACCACAGTTAGAATGTACTTGTGAAGTATTTTTTCAGACATCAAACAGTGCAGGCTACGTTTCGACACCTACTGGTGTCAGTTCAGTGGAATAGTGCCAGTTTTTATTTTTTCTCATCCCAGTAAATGTCATTAAAGTAGTTTGTGCAGCAGAGGTAAATAAAAAGCGCACCTATTTTGCAACTATTCCAGGGCAATGTCAAAACCCCACGATGCTTCAGGCCCACAAATCTGCTTAGTAATGACATACAAGCAGATAATCGTTTGAGAATTCCTTCCGCATGTGTAAGCATTGTGTGGGCTACATTAATTTGCATGGTATGCTCTGGCTGTGCCAGGATAGCCGTACATACAGTGTAAATTACAAAATTAAAACAGTACACATTTGTTTTATTAAAAACATTGTATAACCCATGTCTTACCTTTATTTTATCAGGTTCTCTATTTGTGCTATGACATTAGTCCCGGATCCCCTTTATCTTATTAAAAAACTATAACTCAGCTATATGTCACATAGCCCAGCTTGAGAGATTATATTTGGCAGATGGAGGCCACTCTGGAGCCAATAATTCTTTACTAACAGTAATTAGAGGGAATGATTTTTTTTTAAAATTATAAATATGCGTGTATCACAGCACACCTCAAATGGATTCATACCCTTGTTACATTTCAACAAAAGCATGAGTCAACAGTAATAAAAACATTTGACAGTTGTATTTCAGTTAAAAATGGGTATATTCCTTATTCTGTATGAGGCAACATATGTTCTTTGCAGCGAATATATATTTATAACACACAGAGACAGCTGTGATTCACACAACATATTTTTGACTGTGTCTAGCTCATTAGCTGTTAATCCCTACTTAAAAATGGACATGCTATCTAAAACATCATTTATAGATCACAAAAGTGTTTAATATAGTGCATTACATTTCTTTAATACCTAAAAAAACTGTTGTAGTGTTTATGGTGCCAGTAGTGTCACAGGGTAAGTAACCAGACCTTTTTAAAAAAACAAACCAAAAAAACCCTTTATTTTTGTGTGAAAGTCTTGTCATAAATATAACACAGTATTTGATGTACATAAAATACATGAGATAGGTATCGACATTTTCCATTGCACATCTCCTTTTCTCCGTTTGTTAGTTGAACTTATCTTGTACTGCATACAACTAAGACAATTCACTTTTTTGTTTATATAACTTACATATAAAACTAGCAGTATGCATCAATCAAAACCTTCTGATCTATTAAGTGTTCGGGTTCTTAAGTAGTGTAAGATATTCGGGTGGGGAATTGTCACCTGTCCCTCGTATCATGGTCCTGGTCCAGCCAGGGGTGTAACCAGACCTTTTGAGAACAGTTTAACCATTGGCATTCTCTGGTCATTAGCTCCACTGAGATAGCACTGCCACACAATGAACTTCCAGAAGCACAGGAGGATGTACCTGGCGGACCCCAGGTAAGTTGTCAAACCAGTCTCAAATGGTTACTACTGACTATTGGGGGGCCAGGGCACTCCTGGCACCGTAACCACTACATGCTGCTGACATAGATAACAGTAAGCTTTGAAGAATTTAAATGTTACAGGTAATAAATTAGTGATAAATCATGCAGGAATCTTACATTATATACATTTTACATACTGCAGGGCAAAGCATTTCACATGCTCTCAGTGGACATGCAATTTTATTTGCCCAGGAAAACATGACTAAACCCTCAATTGCTAAAATTGGAATTTTTGCATAATTTAAGAAAACATAACTGTTTTGGAATGTTCTTCAGCTATAGTGTCAGCTTGCCTATCTTAGCCTGTTTGGATATAAATTTGCTGCAGTCCAGAGGTCGGTAAATAACCCCGTATGTATGCTGCAAAGTTATTATGCTTGTGATGATCTTTAAAGGGACACTATAAGCACCAAAACAACTTTAGTTTAACAGAATGATGTTGGTGAATAGATCTTGCCCCTCCAGCCTAAGTGGTCATCCGCCATACAAGAATTAAATCACTTTGTTTTTGCCCTTTTCACACCTCCCTGCGTATGGCCTACACAGTCCCCCTACACATTTTCTGTAAAGAGATATCTAATGTTTAAACTTCCTTTATTGCACAGTCTGTGTAATGTTTAATTTCTTATCTCTTACTGTTAAGCACCTGCTAGAACTTGCATTAGCCTCCTGCCTGTGATTAAAGTTTAATTAACAGAGCAGGAGATAAACACACTGCTGTCAGATCTGATTGAAAATAAAACCATGTTTTCATGCAGGCTGTGTCACAGGTAGGGGCACTAGGGCTGCATAAATTGAAACAAAGGTGATTTAACTCCTAAGTGGCAGAGAATTGAGCAGTGAGGCTGTAGGAAAATAATATATGCACTAAAACTGCTTCATTAACCTAAAGTTGTTTTGGTGCTCAAAGTATCCCTTTAATTTAAACAAATAAAGCTAGGTATATAGGAATGCGTATAAAAGATGCAGAATACAGGATACCTTTGGTTTTATACTCTAGGGCACGGCTTTACAAATTCCAGATGCCAGAACGCCATGGTGGCAAGGAATTTTGTCCTGGCTCCTGAGTATTTGACAGTCTTTTCATTCCTGAGGCAGTTGGCTGTACCAAATGAAGCTCAATGGCGAGGGAGCTATCCTCTTCCTGCTCTGCTCCCTCTCTCACCCTGCTGTGATGCTGGGATATGACGTCACTCCTGCCCCAGCATCACTAAACAGTGCTGAGGGAGCAGAGCAAGAAGAACAGGAAGATAACAGCAGCCACACTAAACCCCAAGTAAAGGATCTACTCCAGCTCTCCTAAAGCTTGGGTGAACATCAATTATAATAAAAGAAATACATTGTGTGTGTGAGAGAATGTGTGTCTCTGTCAGTGAGTGAGTGAGTGAATATGTGTGTCTGTCATTGAGTGTGTGTGTCAAATCAGTGGGTGTCTGTCTTATGTGTAAATTTAAAGAAACACTATAGTGTCATGTATATAAACTATTTGGGTGACCAGGTCCTCCTCCGATCACCTGGGAAAGGTATTTTTACTCACCTTTTTTCCCATGCCACGTCGGTCTCGCCCCCTCTGGCTCTGCCTCCATGGTTGAGATTATCAGTCTTAATGATCTCAGTCAATCCCATAGGAAAGCATTGGGAGGCTATTGCACACATGTGGCAAAACCGCATATCCTCATAGAGATGCATCTTTATGAGGAAGGTTCAGGGTCTCTATGCACAGCGTGGAGATTCTGTATGTAGGTGCTGCACACTGTGCAGCATTGGACTAGGAAGCACCTCTACTTACTGTGTGAGTGACTGCCACTAGAGGTGTTAGTAGGCAGCAATGTTAACACTGCTTTGTCTCAGAAAAAGACTGCAGGGACATGTTATAGACACCGGAACCACTACATTAAGCAGTATGGGTTCTGGTGACTATAGTGTCCCTGTAATATCTAATATTTTTGTTGTTTAAAATAAAGCTTTGTTAGTTTAAAAAAAAAAATGACTCCTAATTTTTTTAGTTGGCTCTTAGATTCAAAGCAAAGTTGTGAAGGCCTGCTCTAGGCACTATAACCACTTCATATAATTGATTTGCATGTTGTGTCTGGTGTTCCATATTGCAGTAGCTCCATTCAGTATTAAATAATTTATTATTATTTTATTATTTATATAGCGCCAGCAAATTCTGGCGCTATATAAATATATATATATGAAGGAGTGTCCTTGGCCGCCCACATTTCGATAGTCTGCTAAAGATTACCACTGCTCATTGCTGCTTTGGCTAATGCTCCCTTACCTGAGCAGCACAGAAGTGACAGACAGCTGGGGACTCCAGACACCATAACCGCTTTTAGTAAAATTAGGCCGTTACAGTGTCTTTTTAATGGAACCATTCAGTATTTTCCTAGAATACCTATGCTAGTTTTACAATTAAGTCACTGCTAAAGTAACATTTTTATGTTTGTGTTAGATATTTTTCTAATTGTTAGAAATGCTACAAATGTATGCCGATCTAATTATAAAACATTATATAGCACAGCAAGATACTTTTGGATCGTTGTGTAATTCTCACATATACAATTAGACCCTGTAGGGCTTGGCTCTGTATACAAGCTCAGCTTGTTTCCAGTCTAATTTACTCAAATGCAATGGTATCCTACAGGCTACCAGTGTACATAGGGATGCCAAAATTGGCATTTTTATCTGCCATATATAAGCTCACAGAATGAAATCAATTTATCTTAGTGGGGTTTCTATTTATTGAATTTCGTTAGGGATATGTGTGGTGTGTATGAATCAGACAGGCTGCAAATAGGGAAAATCAGAAGGTTACATATCAAGATTGTTGTATTAGCTAGAATCTTTATATTTCATTTTAGAGATATACATTTTATTGGACAAGAAACAGAAATTGATAAAAACATCTTTTGCACACAAGTAAAATGTTTAGCTTTATAATACAAAAATATACTCTATTTTTCTTTTTTTTTTATAAATCCAGTCGAGTATTGTTGTGTATGTAGTCTTAGATCACATGTAGTCCTCTATTGGCTGCTGAACTACAAATCCCTAATGCTTTGCCAGCCTACTAGAAACAGAACCTTAGTATGAATAGCACTTGTGAATGTATTAATTAACCATGGATGACAGTGGTCGTGTGAATTTGTCCTGTTTATGCTGGATGCCTTTTATGGATCTCGTTTGTATGAGTTCTGTAAGAATTAAAATTTTGGAATTGGTCAATAATTTTAATAAGTTACAGAAATTGGGTATTAATACAGCACACACGTAATGATTTGGCCATTTTCTGGGACTAGTTTATTTGCTGCATTTACTTTGTGCCTTACCTGCTCTGCTTTATTCAATTCCATACATTCTACACACATATAAGAATTGATACATTGCATATGAATTACAGTTAAAGGACCACTATAGTGCCAGGAAAACATACTCGTTTTCCTGGCACTATAGTTCCCTGAGGGTGCCCCCACCCTCAGGTTCCCCCTCCCGCCCGGCTCTGGAAAGGGGAAAGGGGTTAAAATCACAGTGAGAAGCACGCAAGCGCCTCTAGCGGCTGTCAATGAGACAGCCACTAGATGAAATAGGGGAAGGCTTAACCCATTCATAAACATAGCAGTTTCTCTGAAACTGCTATGTTTATGAAAAAATGGGTTAACCTTAGCTGGACCTGGCACCCAGACCACTTCATTAAGCTGAAGTGGTCTGGGTGCCTAGAGTGGTCCTTTAACCAATACAAAATGCAAAACTGAAGCAAAAGAGATGCTTCCCCCTCCCCTCCCTCCACCCCCAGATCTGCTCATTATCCTTACATTTTGCAATTTGGTATTCACTTTGCTACAATTTGGTATTAAGGAAATAGAGAGAATGGTATCTAATGTAAGCTGTTCTTCCTGATTTTTAATTGATTTTCATTAATCTGGGCATCCATTAAATCCATTCAGTTGTAAAGGGCCACTGAAGTCACCCAGACCACTTCCTCTCAGTGAAGTGGTCTGAGTGCAGAGTTACTCTCTTTCTATAGGAACATCAGTGTTTACATTGCACGGTTAAAGGGTCTCCCCAGACCTCTAAAGCACTTTAGCTTTATGTGTAAAGAGTGGCTTTCAAGCCGACAACAAGTAATGTTATTTCCTGGTTTCGTTAGCTCAATGCAGTTGACCTCAAGAGGCAGCAATTGCCAAAAACATTGTTTTGATTTTGGGGTATATTTTTAAATGTTGTACTTGGGCAGTGTATTTAAAACCATCACCTTTCAATTCCTCACATGGTGGATTTCTTCATCTTTAATGAATGGACTTCCTTATTGCAGCATTAGATGGCTATATACCACAGGGCACCACTTTTTACCTACTGCCTATGAGCATACATAAGTGATATATGCGAAGACAACGTGTGGTTGTATCTAGGTTTGCCAGATACATCATGTTTACCTGGGCACAGACATCTTATTCAGGCTGATAGCAAGTGAGAAGTGCTTCCATGTTATACCAGCCCCATAATGCATCATGCCAGCATAGTGTGCAGATATGGAAGTAGTAGGGGGAAAAAACTGAAAACTATCACTCAAAAATTAAATAAATCACTCATAGGGCTTCAAATAAACAAAAGAGCGGAGCTCAGAACAGAGAAGCTATGTAATGATGATAATTCACAAAATATACAAGTGATGCATAATATTAAATGTATGCTTACTAATGCAAGGAGCCTAAATAACAAAATGGGGGAACTAGAGGCAGTTAACTTAAATGGGTACATGTTATTTAGGAAGGATAGGAAAAACAAGAAGGGTGGTGGGGTATGTTTTTATGTCAACCATGACTTAAAGCCAAATCTTAAGCAAATGGAATGCGATGAGGAAAATGTGGAAGCTTTATGGGTAAATATCTGCTTGGGTGAAAAGAAGGGAAGCCAACTATTGGTTGGGATATGTTAGAAACCACCTAATGTTAATATTGACGAGGAACAACAGCTGTTTGAGCAAATTGAGAAAGCTGCAAATCTGGGTAACACTTTTTAATTATTGGAGATTTTAATTACCCGGACATAAATTGGCACAGAGGGACTAGTGCCTCAGCAAAGGGAATTAGGTTTTTAAACTTGTTAAATGACACCTTCATGTCACAACTTGTACAAGCACCAACTAGAATGGACGCTTGTCTGGACCTGGTTTTAACAAACAACGTTGATCTTTTGACCAACATTCAAGTAGGTGAGCACTTGGGAAATAGTGATCACAATATAGTGTCCTTTGAAACTAACTCAAAAAAAAACAAAAGCACATGGGGTTTACTAAAACATATAATTTTTAAAAGGCCAATTTCAATAAGTTAAGGTAAGCTTTACAATATATTGACTGGCATAAACTCTTTAGTGAAAATAACACTGAGGATAAATGGATCATCTTCCAACAAATATTAGAAAGGTACATTTATCAGTATGTTCCATTGGGAAATAAATATAAAAGAAACAAATTAAAACCAATGTGGCTTAGTAGAGAAGTAAAACAAGAGATTAAAAATAAGAATAGGGCATTTAAAGCATTTAAATCGGACAAATCGGATGCATCTTATAAAAGATAAAAGGAAGCAAATAATGAATGTAAAAGGCAATTAGACGTGTTAAACTTCAAAATGAAAAAATGATAGCTAAAGAGAGCAAAACCAACCCCAAAGCATTTTTTAAGTACATCAATTCTAAAAAACCCAAAAATGAAAGTGTAGGTACACTAAAACCTGAAACGGGGGTGTTAGTTAATGAAGACCAGGAAAAGGCAGGAATTTTAAATAACTAATTTCTCCTCTGTATATATTAAAGGACCACTCTAGGCACCCAGACCACTTCAGCTTTATGAAGTGGTCTGGGTGCCAGGTACCTCTAGGATTAACCCTTTTTTTTTATAAACATAGCAGTTTCAGAGAAACTGCTATGTTTATACTGAGGGTTAATCCAGCCTCCAGAGCCTCTAATGGCTGTCTCATTGACAGCCACTAGAAGCGCTTGCGTGCTTCTCACTGTGAAAATCACAGTGAGAGCACGCAAGCGTCCATAGGAAAGCATTGTAAATGCTTTCCTATGCGACCGGCTGAATGCGCGCGCGGCTCCTGCCGCGCATGCGCATTCAGCCGATGACGTCGCGAGCAAGGAGGAGAGGAGGAGTACAGCTCCCCGCCCGGCGCTGCAGAAAGGTAAGTGTTTAACCCCTTCCTCTCCCCAGAGCCGGGCGGGAGGGGGACCCTGAGGGTGGGGGCACCCTCAGGGCACTATAGTGCCAGGAAAACGAGTATGTTTTCCTGGCACTATAGTGGTCCTTTAAGGAAGAACCCATGGCAATAGATGTGCAAATGATTGCTACTAAAAATCCTTGCCTGGAAATTATAGACCTGTGAGCTTAACTTCTGTGACTGGTAAAATATTTGAAAGGTTATAAAGGAATAATATTCAAGAATTCCTTGAGAAGAACATGGTTATCAGCAAAATCAGCACGGTTTTATGAAGCACAGGTCATGTCAAACTAACTTGATTGCGTTCTACGAAGAAGTAAGTAGAAGTATAGGTCAGGGTGTTGCCGTGGATGTGATCTATTTGGATTTTCCCAAGGCATTTGATACAGTTCCAAACAATAGATTAGTGTTCAAACTCAAGGAAATCGGTCTAGATGAAAATGCTTGTTCTTGGGTAGAACATTGGCTTAAAAACAGAGTACAAAGAGTTGTCATTAATGGTAAATTTTCAAGCTGGACAAAGGTGGCAAGTGGTGTCCCTCAGGGGTCTGTTCTGGGACCCCTTCTATTTAACATGTTTATAAATGATCTTGAAGACAGCATTGAAAGTCAGGTTTGTAAAACTTTGTAAAATAATACAATGTGAGCAAGATATTACTTTGCTGCAGAGGGATTTAGATAGACTGGGGGACTGGGCACTCAAATGGCAGATGAAATTTAATGTTGAAAAAATGCAAAGTTATGCACTTCGGCGTAAAGAATACACAAGCAACGTATACCCTTAATGGAAGCGAATTAGGGATAACAACACATGAAAAGGACTTGGGAATTGTTATAGACAATAAACTATGCAACAATGTGCAATGTCAATCAGCAGTGGCCAAGGCCAGTAAGGTATTGTCATGCATGAAAAAGGGCATTCAATCTCGGGACGAGAATATCATTTTGCCTCTTTATAAATCACTGGTAAGACCCCATATTGAATATTCTGTGCAATTTTGGGCACCTGTTCTAAAGAAGGATATTATGGCACTAGAAAAAGTGCAGAGGCGGGCTACAAAATTAATAAAAGGAATGGAACATATCAGCTACGAAGAGGTTAACAAATTTAAACCTATTTAGTTTAGAAAAACGTCGCCTGAGAGGGGATATGATCACATTATACAAATATATTCGGGGCTAATACAAACCATTGTGTGGAAATCTATTCACAAACTGGACTTTACATAGGACACGAGGCCATGCGTTTAGACTGGAAGAAAGAAGATTTCGTCTAAGGCAAAGGAAAGATTTTTTTACTGTAAGAACAATCAGGATGTGGCATTCTTTGCCTGAAGAAGTGGTTTTATCAGAGTCCATACAGATGTTCAAACAGCTACTAGATCCATACTTGCAAAAACAGAATATTCAAGGATATAATCTTTCAATGTATGGTAATAACTGCTTGATCCAAGGATAAATCTGACTGCCATTCTGGGGTCAAGAAGGAATTTTTTTCCTAGGTTGTTGCAAAATTGTGCTTCAAACTGGGTTTTTTTTGCCTTCTTTTGGATCAACAGCAAAAAACAAATGTGAGGAAGGCTGAACTTGATTGACGCAAGTCTCTTTTCAGCTATGTAACTATTGTAAGCAGACATGCATTTGCATGTAATCTATGTTTCAGTCCATTTTCTTGATATATTAAGGAAAGTTTGGTCATTTGGACTGAAATTGTGAATGTATGCTATTGCACAGCAGTAAAAAACATTATCTTGTTTTTTTTAAGTAATAAGAGTGTACTCTTTGGCTTACAACTGGATCAATTTCAATCAATGCCAATTCAATTCCCATAGGAAAGCGCTGGGGGGCTTTTGCACATGTGTGTCAAAATGCTGCGCTTCACCGCACCAATCATCATCTCTATGGAGAGTGATCAGCGCCTCCATGCAAAGTGTGCAGCACTGGACTAGGAAGAATCTCTAGTAGCTGTCTGAGTGACTGTCGCTAGCGATGTGCCTAGCAATGTAGACACGGCCTTTTATCTGAAAAGGTAGTATTTACAGTGCTCAGCCTACAGGGACAGGCTAGAGACACCAGAACCACTACATTAAACTGTAGTAGTTCTGGTGACTATAGTGTCCATTTAATACAACGTCTTTCTCTCACCAGTCAACTCAGAGTTACGGGGAGAGCAGGAGACACAAGTGAAGATGCATTTTGTTTGTGTCTTTCTCCTCCAAGCCCCTTTCATGTGTCTCTTAGCCCCAGCCCCATTGTCTCTTTCTCCCTTTCCCCAGCCCTTCTGTGAGTCTCTTTCCCAGGCCTCAGCACCTCTGTGCATATTTCCCCACAGCTCCTCTATGTGTCTCATTCTCCCCTTTCCCAGCCCCTCTGTGTGTCTCTTGTTCGTCTTCCTCAGCTCCTCTGTGTGTCTCCTGTTCCCTTTTTGCAACCTCTCTGTCTCTTTTTCCCCACACACCTCCTTGTGTCTGTTTACGCCACAGCCCTCTATGTGTCTCATTCCACCATCTCCAGTCTTCCATGTGTCTCAGTATCTCCAGCCCTCCATGTGTCCTATTAGCCCTCCCTCCTTCCATATAGCCCCCCAGCCCTCCATGTGTCCCACTAGCCCACCCTTCCAGCCCTCCGTGTGTTCTTATGCCCCCTCACAGCCCTTCACAAGTCCCTATGTCCCCTCACAGCCCTGTATGTATCTAATTAGCCCTCTCATGTCTCTCAGTAGCACCCCCATGTTTCGCATTAGCCCCCCAGACCCTCCCTCCCAGCCCTCTGTGTCCCTCTAGCCCCCTCCCAGCCCTCAATGTGTCTCAATAGGCCCCCTCCCAGCCCCCTGTATCACAATAGGCCCCCATGTGTCCCACTAGCCGTGTCTCCTAGCCCCCATGTGTCCCATTAGCCCCCTCCCCTAATATGCCGGCCTATCGGGAAATTTCCCGGTATCCCAGTGGGCCAGTCTGGCCCTGCCTGAAGTTTGTACAATTCATAACCCGCTAGAAGGAATTCAATCAATTAATTTCAAATTTAATACCATAGTAGCCTAACTGAAAGCATAGCTGAATTAGAAAATATTTTAATTTTGACCTTAAACTTGAAAATTCAATCTGAATTCTCACTTTAGTGAATAATCCTGAAAAATGAAACGCATTGTTTTGTTGTTTGATTTCCATCCTGCAGCATTTCTATTCTGCAGAACAGCATTTTCCATGTGGTGACCATTATCACTATGAGGAAATTTTCAGGAAAACGTGGCTAATCTAGCAGGCCTGGGTGGAGTGTTTGAGCATTGAGCACAGATGAGGAGGGTTAATGGACCAGAAGAGATGTAGTTCAGCAACAAAGCTGACTAGTACATACGTGTTGGTTGAATATCATGGGAAATGTATTTTAAAAAAGCATCACTATTCGTGGATGCTTCCTAGTGACCTAGGGAATCAAGCTGACCTATTTAAAGGTACATTAGTATTGGAAATAAAAGGATTAGGTTATAGGAAAATGCATTCCTGCTGTGTTAGCTTCAGGGTAAATCAGAATTGTACACCTCACACATGGCTCTATGCGGGTATTCTGCCAAGGCTCATAACATTGTATTGCAGCATCCAAGAGGCAGAATGACACAATGCAAAATGTGTTCTGCACTCAAGGTCACCTTCAGATGAATTCGGGGACAAGTGCAGCTAGAATAAATTGTAATAACGTCATACTGTTTAGTCAGGCTTTAGTATAATGTGCTTGGAAAATGCCTTCAGATCTTGAGCGCAGATTTTATTTTAAATGTCTAAAATGACATTAAAAAAAAAGAAGCATACTTCAAAGAAAATTATGTATGTGGCTGACTGATATTTTGACGATTATATGTAGTATGATAATTCTATAGCCAGTAAGATTAGGTCTCAAATCTTGTGTGTTTATCAAGGTTGTTGATTACCAGGGACTTGCAAGATTGTGACATTTTACGCCAAACAGCTGAGTTTAAAAAATAGATAAATTAGGGGATATTTTAATTTCAGCTATTTTGTGACTTAACCTCGGCTTCTCTGATCGAATTGTAACAAATCATGGTTTAGTGAATAAACATTTCAGAGTTTATTCACTTTATACATAAAAATTTAGGCAGGCATTTAGGGATTTATTCACTAAACAGCGAATTGTGGTGAATTAAAATAACCAGCCTCTGACAAAAAGCAGAGTTGTAGGATATTGTCAACTTGACTCCTTTCATCTGAATTTGGCAATGCGTGCTTTAAAACCTCTTTCTAATAAATTAAATGGTGTCCGCAATGCTGAACTTTAACTTGAGAAAAATTCTCCAAATCAACCTTGTTTTCAGTTTGGCTATTTTAGCTTTAAAGGAACAGACCAGAAACCACATCCACTTAATCTTAATGAAGTGGTAATGACGTCCGGAGTCCCCAGGTCATGTTTTACAATCTTTTATTATACAAAAGTACTGTCCCATGCACCCATTGGCTCGCACTGGTTTTCTGCTCTGCTTATCTCTTATCCTATCACTGGCCACCTCTCACAAAACAACATACGTACATTTTTAACCTTTACTCATGACGGGCATCAGCTGGCTCTTTCAACCTGTCTCTGTTGCCTCTTTGCTTCTCAAACTAATGCTTTTGCATTACCAATCCATCAAAGGAGAGACAGAAGCCATGCACCCAGGGACCCTACTTCTGTGTTAAAACCACGTACTATAGAATTTTCGACATATCATAGTTTAGTGTATAATCCTGTATCCATATATATGTGATTGTTTGTTTATGAAATAATTATGTAGCCAACCTATATTTATTTTAGGATTAGATATTTTTATAAACCGGTCTGGTTGAAAGGAAAAAATTTTTTTTCTTTATTTGAATATAGCTTGTTAAGCAAGTACTGATACATGCTTTGAATATCAGCTGATGGATAAAGAAATATGTTTGTGTTTAGTGGGATATGATATTTGCCTGTCATTTAATCATTCTTAGGTGTTACCATAAGGTGTATTTTATAAAGGCTGAAACTGTAGCAGAAAATTGGGCTTCCAAAATTTGGGAAATACTTTCCTGGTATTATACATATCCAAACGTTAAGCAAATTGTGTGAATAAGATTTTATCTCAAATGTGTGTATATATATTTTTTTAACAAAAACTCTGTGTATAGGCACTCTTTTATCCGTGTTTGGTGCAAGGTATCAAGGTGGCCCATGTACCTCCTAACATACAATGTAACAAAAAATGATACAGCACTCAATAATTTTAGGTATAATTCATTACTTCATTTAATAATTCATTAATTTTGTAAATATAATAATATATGAGTATAGTTCATTAATTTTGCAGATTTGATAATATATACAAAAAAATAGGACAATATGTATAGTAGAAACAATATATCTTGTGACAACCAATATTACTCCATGTAAATAAGTCCCTACAACATCCGACTTCTAAATTATCAATAATACTAAACTGCATTAATATATCTGAAAGTCTGGATTACCATCCAAAGAAGCGAAAAAAAAATAAAAAAAATATAAGAAATGAAAAAAATAAGAAAAAAACAAAAAGTGAAAAAAAAATGAGAAAAGAATAAGAAAAAAATATAAAGAAATAATGTATATACAGTCCCAGTGTGTACACACTATAATATATGGGTGGATCTCACCACAATTTCCAAGGGTATGGGTCCTGTTTCAGGCAAAATCTCAGTATATGCACCAAGTTGATGAACTGGCCGCAGTACAGTAATATATCCCTGTGGTTGTTGTAAACTTCTTATTTCTCCCGGGTTGTATATACAGTATCTCCCTGTTGTCGTTAAGGTACCGGACTTCCTCTCCGTCTTTCAGTGTAGGGTCTTGGGCTGCGCGCCCGGGACCTTAGAAGTCCCTTCGATGGCCCATATATATTTTTTAAGTAACCTTAGAATGACTTAATAAAGTTGCAACATTTAAATACTACGCAGCCCACTGAGCTATCATACTCTCTCTTTTATAGTTTGATATTTATGAGTACCCAGATTCATAGTTGGATATTTGAGTGTTTTATGTATTAACAGGTAAAGTTTTGTGATTTGAGAACTGAATTGTAACATTTAAACCAAAAATTGCAGTGAAGAGTTTTAAATAGCTTCTGTTTTGTCGCAAATGTTCTCATTTACCATAATTTAGTTTGATGTATTTAGAGCAGTACAGTGAGGAGGTCTGTGCCTGCCGAGGCTCAGCCCAAGTACTGCTGATACTGGGAGGTAATGCTACATTACCAGGGTTAATTGGCAGAAGTACTTTATGATAAGGAGACCGTTCCAACTACAGCTAGAGCTGGTCATTTGGCATGATTTGAAATAAAATTTGCTGTCAACAGGCTCTTTATACCATTTCCAATATAATGAGCTTGAAGTGCCCTTTTAACATTAGAAGGTGCAGCACACTCCATGTACATGCAATTGTTTATTTTATTTTATCAAACAGGCATTTGCTGTAAACCTTAAAAAAATGCATATCATTTGTTTTGTAGGGTGATGCCTGAATTTATAATGAAGCACTCCCTGCTGGGGGCTGAATCGCCACAAGTTGGAGAATTCTGGCTTTACGTTTGTCTGCGACGATTCAGCGGTTTCCTGGCACATGTCATGGCTATCGGTTTCACCATCTTTATGGTGATACTTTCCCGGCCTGGGACTAGTGAGTATCAACCATGACTGTGGACATGACTCGGTTAGAAATTAGTAAATTCTGTAATAATGACAAATAGTTTTTATTAAACCACTTAAATACACTGATTGTGTAGTGAGTGAAATGGGAGTGAATATCATGTAATGTCTTTTGGAACTCCATCAAAATTTCAGTTAAAGCTGGCCTGCTGCTAGTCACATACATGCGAGGTCAAATCCATGTCATGATATATTAAAAGACTGTCGTTATACTATCCATGATTCTCTTACTGTCAATTTCTATGATTCTCTTACTGTCAATGTCATGCCTATCGAATACTGTGTACTCTGCATTCACAATAAAAATTGTCATGGGTGGAAAAAATACATATTTTCCTGAAGATCCCTTCTACCTCCTCCAAGATCTCGCCACTGGATTGGAGGTACGTTAATCCTTCTGTCTGAAGGTATGGGTGCTGTAATAATTTCCATTTCTTCTGTGTCTTTTTCCAGTCGATTGGAATAATTATTTTATGTATATTTCTTGGGTTAAAGGCTTGCGACATTAATATACGTCTGTATTACTGAAAAGTACTAATACGCAATCTGACTTACGGTTTATTCTTATTTATATGGATGTTCAATAGCAGATGGTAATTGCTGGACTCCTGAAGGGAGAGTTACATTGTTACATAGCTGTACAGGAAGAAGAGCCGAGAGAGACCTAGTGTCCCTTTGTTCAGTTACTATATAGGTGTACCCATACTGACGGCAGAGTATAACTCTAGCCATATAAGGACAAGACCACATTCCAGAATTCTCATACAAGAAAACCTTGTGACTTATTGATACCATCTGTTACTTATGTCAATCCTGGCATCTATAAATAATCAATAGAAACATAGTAAATGCAATATTCTACAGGTGCCCAGTGATTTAAAAAGGCAAAACAACACTCCAACGTTTATAAATAACTCTGGAGTGTTCATTTGGGTTTAATTATGTGTTATTGAGATAAGATACAAAAAGAACAGTACAATGACAATGTCAAGGGACATTGGTTAAAGGAACACTCCAATGCCCAAATTTTAAACTCACTGATTAGTAGATATACCCCCCAACAAAAACATTCATGCATTTAATTCTGCATTTTCTCATTGGGAGTATATATAAAAAGAGCTTGCGAAAGCCTGCAGATCTCTTGTCTTAAGTGTTTGCATGCCATTCCCTACAAACCCCTCCCAGACTTTCTGTGGCTGTCCAACCACAGATTTCCCAATGCAGCTCAATGAGAGGTATTTGCAAGGCAGCTTCTATGAGCAATTGCCTGTCAGGAAATAACAGGAAATGTCTGATTGACAACCAGGAGGCTGTAACAGGGTTAATTTAAAAAAGTGTGAATTTCTATTGAAATGTGCACCTTTTGTAAAATGAAAAAAAAAGAGGAGCGAGCTAAAGTGCTTTATGAGTCTGGGCTGTACCTTTAAATTCAGAATTATTTAATAATAGCAAAAGCTTCTTCGTTGTAAAAATAATAGAAAATCTGTTTAATTTAGGGAGAGTAGATGATCTGTAACTGTTTTCTGTAATCTGCAATCAGACTTATCATGGAGAAGTAGTGCACAAGTAGAAGCAAGGATGAAAAAAGGATAAAAGGTGAGTTAAAGAGGGATAGAGAAGGAAACATTTGATTTCTCTCTGAGATAAGAGAGGTAAAGGTGTGTGTGTGAAAGGGGAGGGGGACGCCTGGTGAGTGAAACATTGTGAAGTAGTAGAAAGGAATGGGATGGTGTTCAGAACCCAGTCCTCAAGTACCCCCTAACAGTCCAGGATTTAGGGATTACCCAGTTGTGTCTAATGTGTTTTTGGAAAGAAAAACTTTACACACAACAGGGTAATCCCTAAATCCTGGACTGATAGGGGGTACTTGAGGACTGGGTTGGGAACCCCTGCCCTAGAGGAAAAATCAGTGATAATAGGAGTGGATGGGTACTGATCTACCCTAAGATCTTTCCATTTCCCATTAGTTACATGTGGTATATGATGACATTGTGTAGTCTGGGAACTCAGGGGCGGACAAGAATTAGTGCCTCTAGTTGACGGATATTGCCTACTGCTTCCGCCCAGACCGTCAATGAAGGCTGCATATGCTTTTTCTATGAAATTATTTGTTTGGATGCATTGACTAACCATAGAATTACAGAGATTTTGTGGGCTAGGAGTTGCAGCTGTATCAGAAAGAGTTCTGTCATCCAATAAACATTGTATCACTCCGTAAAGCTCAGTCCAAAATGGACAGAGTATGGAAAGCAGGTCGCCAACCCCCTATAAACATCTCCAGCATTTATGTCTAAAAAGGAATCTGTATATGTAATGTGGGGTGTTTGAAAACAGTGAGTTACAGACTAAGTAATATTTCCCTGAGTTGTACAGAAGGAGATCATTTATGAGTCAGAACTGTGTTACCCAATTTTTGTAATAAATATGTGGTCTGAATGTAATTATCCATGAATTAGATCCTATCAATTTCTCTGTTTATACTATTTGTATCTTTAAAAAAAAAAAAATCTAAATAAAGATTTGGCAGAGTCCCTTTAAATGTTGACATGCAATGCATGTAGTTTTAACATCATTTTACAAGGTATACATAAACAAGAGATGGGTAAATGGCTTTATTTAAGCTACAACATGTACAAGCTGTAGTATCACTCAAATAAACAAGGAAACAAATTTTGCTTGCTGGCCTCTGATGATCTTCCATTTCGATAACTAAACAAATACAGCTGTCATTTACAAATTAGTGTTTCCTTTTTTAGATCCAGCATGCTGACTTTACTCTTGACAGGTTTTACACTCTTTCGTGAACAACTTAAAGCGGCACTGTCATGCCGAACTTACCTTTCCCCAATAGATTCCTCTTCTCTCACTCTGTCAGGATCTGATCTTCATTTCTTCCTGTCTGCTCTAGTTTTCTTTAAAACATGAGACAAAATAGGGACTATTTTGTCTTATGGAGGAGTCCTACGCCTGACCATCTCTGACCACCGGAGGAGCAAAGTGTGCTCTGTTTCCCGTGGTCAAAGAAATTTTCCCACAATTTTTACCTTTCCTCCGTGATCTCATAATGCTTCCTGTCAGTATTCCCAAACGTTCTGTCATTTAGACAGAACGCTGGTGAACTACCGAATTTTGTCCTAACAGAATGAGAAAAGTTTGTTCATTCATGTTAGGACTCAATTCGGGACGTTGCTCGTATCAGAATTTCATTTGAATGAACGAAATTCCGATCTGATTCGTGCCGCAGTTGCATCTTGCAGCCGCTTAGTAGATAGCTCCCTAATTCGCACGGTATTAGGGAACTATCTACAAAAAGGCTGAAAGTCCTAAATTGGTCTTTCAGACAAATTTACTAATACTAAGTAAAAATTACTTAGTATTAGTAAATTCTGCCCCTACTTGCTATATTGCGAGTAGGGGCATGTCTAGTAAACAGTGAGCAGCCTGTGGCTGCTCACTGTTGTAAAAAAAAACCCCACAAAAAACCCTTAGTGTCTCCCTTCCCGAACCCCCACCCATGCCGTGCGTGTGGGGTCTATTAAACTAAAGGGGGTCCTAGCGTCCTCCTCCGGTCCCCACCCATGAGCGGCGGGTGGGGGCCCTAAATTAAAATGGGGAGGGGAACCTATTGTCCTATTGTCTGAGGGCCGGGGGGAAAGGACAATAGGTCCCCTCCTCCCCATTTTCATTTAGGGCCCCCACCCGCCACTCATGGGTGGGGGCCTGATGGGGGAGGACAATAGGTCCCACCCCCCATTTTCACTCTTGGGTGGAGGGCCAGGGGGGGGACAATTTTCATTTAAGGCCCCCACCCGCTGCTCATGGATGGGGGCTGGGGGGGGACACTAGGTCCCCCCTTCATTTTAATAGCCCCCACTGGCTTGGGAGAGGGTGGACAAAAGGGGGATTAACAGTGCTCACTGTTTAGCATACATGCCCCTACTCGCGGCATAGTGAGTAGGGACATTCGGGAGATTTTAATCTCCATTATAATATTATGGGGGTCATTTTGACCCCCATAAAGTGAGGGAGGACACGGGGGGCTTAGGAAATGGCGGGGGGCATTGCTCCCTGACGCTTTTAAAAAAAAAAAAAACATATTACAAGGAAGGAGCTGCGTGCCGGTAGCTCCCTCCTTGTAATAAACCGAACGAACGAAGAAGTCTTCCTTCGTTTGTTTGAAATTTCTATTCATTTTTACGTCTTTCTGATGAATGAATGGATGAAATTCCCGTTCGCATGCCCACGTTTTTAACTGGGCATGCGCAGGAGTTTCATAGCTCTATCTAGTGTGGGCAGATGACGTGACCCACAGGGACTTCATCTACCCATACAAAGATGGCGGCGCCCAGAACCTAGGTCCGGGCAGAAAATAAAGATTAAAAAATAAGTAATATGAGGGGCATAGGGGCATTTAGGAGTGACGAGGGGGACAATTGGATGTAGTGGAGTAGGGAGGGCGGTTAAAAAAACATGGGATTCGGCAATGACAGTGCCGCTTTAAAGGGTCAGTCTAAGCACCAAAACTGTTTCAGCATACTTAAGTAGTATTGGTGTATTGTCCTTGTCCCCTTCAGCCTTACCTCTTAAAGGGCAACTATCATTTGTCTTGAAATTACACTGTTGAATAAAGATTAAAAATTACAATTATTTATATAGCGCTAACATATTCCACAGGACCTTACAATAGGTCAGGGGTAGGTAACCTTTGGCACTCCAGATGCTGTGGACGGCATCTCCCACAATGCTCTTACAGTCATAATGCTGGCAAAGCATCATGGGAGGTGTAGTCCAAAACATCTGCAGTGCCGAAGGCTGCCTATCCCTGCAATAGGTAAATGAAATAAATACTAAACAAAATAGAACATGATTTACATACCAGAGCTGAAGGTTAAGAGGATTCTGCCAAAACGAGTTTACATTCTAAAAGGATAAGGGAGATATACATAAAGATAATGAAGTGACCAGTGTGTACCTGAGTGATGGCTGGGGGTTGTTAGGTGGGAGAAAGTAAGAGTAAGGAAATAGGGGATGAGGAGTTCTCTAAAGTAATGTGTTTTTAGGGATTTTTCCAGGTCTGCAGAGAAAAGGAGAGTTTAATCTACCAACCTCTATGACATTAATCATGTTAACCTTTTTTTGTATTGCTGTGTTCTCTTGAAAATGTATATTAAACATTTAGCAAATTGTATCGCCTTCCTTTTTAGTTCAGTCATAGCCAGGGGGCCCATTGCAAATGAACAGACATAAATTAAACATTGTTCTGATTTCTTTGTATACTTCTATGTAGTCTGCTGGGTTCAAGAAAGAACTTATAACTTGGAGCCAAGATGGATGTGCCTAGTTGCACAATAAGTGTGGATTTCTACATTTAATTTTATTTTTCACAGCTCACAAGTACATAATTGTTAAATACTGGAGAGAGAAGGGGAGAAGTGATATTTCCCCTTTAAAACATTCTGCAAAAATTAGCCTTTTTTTCTGTATGTAGGGTCATCCTGAAAGGCAGTCAGACATTTCTTCAGTTTTAGAGGTTTTATCTATATTTTATGTTCATGTGGCACAGATAAGGATATCTCTCCCCTCAGCAGATTTCCGCACATGGCGCACTTCAGAAAACTATGAACTGAGCTGTGTGTAAACTGTTGGTGGCAGCTGTTGTGGTATGGCTGCTTTTTGCTTATAGAGCAGTGTTGTATTTCCTGTGTGATGAGTGGAAGCAAGATCTACGATAAGCTACTTAGTCTATAACTTGTAGCTGGACAGGGGTTTGTGGATTAAAACCAAACTCCAAAGACAAGAATGAGAGGCTCCAGATTGATTTATCCTCATCTTTATTAGGAATTTATCTTAGCATAGAATTGAATACTGTAACAGATGCCCTGTTTGTTGGATTTATCATTTTATTGTTGCTCTGAACTATTTGCTACAATCCTCTTCACCTAAACCAGCATACGAATTCAAACGAACAAACTGTACTCAATTTGTTCGTTTACAAAACATTTTACCGAATGCTCGACCACCCAAGCCAGTCGTGTGCCGCCAATTGACTTATTTGACTCTGTGCCAAACCACAACCCCAACGTTCTAAGTGGTTCACTGGGTGGCCGTCGATTCGTATGCACAAATAGTGGCGGCAGCCATCTTGTTTTGTCGAACGCGTCCAGCGGGATTTGGTCGTCGACTATCTGGAACTATTTTTGGACATTCGATCTCCCGAACACCGCTGAGACTTCCAGGACCACTTAGATTTATGATAATCCATCCGAAGTCGGCTGCATTCTGTAGAAATTATATATGAATAAAGCGGCACACGACCATCAAACGCACAAACGATTATGTGAACTGTTGTTCGACATTTTATAATTCACGAAAGAGACCATCCGCACCAGCTGAATTCATGGTACTATTCTGGGCAGGAGCCTCGTGTGCGGCCGGGCAGAAGCTAACTCCCGAACCCCTCAACCGATTCACATGATTTTTTAATATGTTGTTCCTCTAACTATGGACGATAAGAAAATATATGTTTTATGGGATTTGGATGTGATTTTGGGGTATTTCTGAAAATGGGTAAAAAATTGTCCTTTTTTCGTTTGGAGATAATTGAGTTGATATAGTAATTAACTCAATTATCTCCCAAGCAGAGGTGAGGAATTTTGTGTAATGAATGGGAGTATTTTATTATGTGACTCAATGTTTATTGGTTGTACACTGTTTGTGCCCAGCTAGGTCCACCTGGATGGTAACTTTTTGGGAATAAGTGTATAAAAGGCCAGCCCAGCCCATTAAAGGACCACTCTAGGCACCCAGACCACTTCAGCTTAATGAAGTGGTCTGGGTGCCAGGTCCAGCTAGGGTTAACCCATTTTTTCATAAACATAGCAGTTTCACAGAAACTGCTATGTTTATGAATGGGTTAAGCCTTCCCCTATTTCCTCTAGTGGCTGTCTCATTGACAGCCACTAGAGGCGCTTGCGTGCTGCTCACTGTGATTTTCACAGTGAGAGCACGCCAGCGTCCATAGGAAAGCATTATGAATGCTTTCCTATGTGACCGGCTGAATGCGCGCGCAGCTCTTGCCGCGCGTGCGCATTCAGCCCAGGAGGAGGATCGGAGGAGGAGAGCTCCCCGCCCAGCGCTGGAAAAAGGTAAGTTTAACCCCTTTTCCCCTTTCCAGAGCCGGGCAGGAGGGGGACCCTGAGGGTGGGGGCACCCTCAGGGCACTATAGTGCCAGGAAAACGAGTGTTTTCCTGGCACTATAGTGGTCCTTTAAAGCTTCAGATCTGCTTAACCCTCAACACTTAGCCTTGTCTCATCCACATTGTAGTGGTTATGGTGTAGGAATATTCCTTTAACCCCTTAAGGACCAAACTTCTGGAATAAAAGGGAATCAGGTGATATCACACATGTCATGTGTCCTTAAGGGGTTAAAGGAACACTTTAACATAATTAACATTAATTGTTATGTAAAAATCTCCATAAAATTAATCTGTCATCCAGCACCGGGGGGGGAGGGGGGGGTCTTCTCAACCAAGAGGAGCCAAATGAGAGACTACAGGAATAGGTTGGTTGCACCAAAAACAAAATACAGCAATCATGCAAACTTAAATATGTTTACACTCTGTTCCAAATTATTATGCAAATTCTATTTCAGTGTCACAAAGATTAAATATTTTGTTTTTCAGTTTAACTCATGGATGGCATTGTGTCTCAGGGCTCTTTCACTGAAAACAATCTCGGGCACCTGTGATAATTAGATTGCCAGGTGAGCCCAATTTAAGGAAAAAATATTAATATTAATATTAAGCAGAGCACCATTTTCATGCAATATGGGGAAGAAAAAGGATCTCTCTGCTGCCGAAAAGAGTGAAATAGTTCAATGCTTTGGACGAGGTATGAAAACATTAGATATTTCACGAAAATGTAAGCATGATCATTGCACTATTAAGAGATTTGTGGCTGATTCAGAGCACAGACGGGTTTGTGCAGATAAAGGCACATTGAGGAAGATTTCTGCCAGATCCATGAATCGGATCAAGAGAGCAGCTGCTAAAATACCATTATATAGCAGCAAACAGATATTTGAAGCTGCTGGTGCCTCTGGAGTCCCACGGACATCCAGGTGTAGAGTCCTCCAGATTCTCCATTCGGCCACCACTAACCAATGCTCACAAGCAGAAACGGCTGCATTGGGCATAAAAATACATGAAGACTAATTTTCAAACATTCCTGTTCACTGATGAGTGCCGTGCAACCCTGGATGGTCCAGATGGATGGAGTAGTGGATGGTTGGTGGACGGCCACCCTGTTCCAACAAGGCTGCGACGTCAGCAAGGCGGTGGTGGAGTCATGTTTTGGGCCGGAATCATGGGAAGAGAGCTGGTCGGCCCCTTTAGGGTACCCGAAGGTGTAAAGATGACCTCTGCAAATTATGTGGAGTTTCTGACTGACCACTTTCTTCCCTAGTACAGAAGGAAGAACTCCATTCCGTAATAAAATCATCTTCATGTATGACAATGCACCATCTCATGCTGCAAAGAATACCTCTGCATCAATGGCTGCTATGGGGATAAAAGGAGAGAAGGTCATGGTGTGGCCTCCATCCTCCCCTGACCTCAATCCTATTGAGAACCTTTGGTGCATCCTCAAGCAAAAGATCTATGAGGGTGGGAGGCAGTTTACATACAAACAGCAGCTCTGGAAGGCTATTCTGACATCTTGTAAACAAATTCAAGCAGAAACTGTCAAAAAACTCACAAGCACTTGTGAAGCTGCTATCAAATAAGGGGTCCTATGTTAAAATGTAACGTGACCTGTTAAAATGTTTAAAAAGTTAAAATGTTGTTATAAGTTTGATTGAAATACCTTTTGATTTCAGTAAATATGCTGCAAACACAACAAATGACAATTTTCAGTTCTTTACAACCTGTAAAGTGTTTTGAAACTTACTGTGCGTAATAATTTGGAACAGTGCATTGTAAGTTTTTTATGTTTTTAAAAAAAATACTGTTATTAGGAGGTTTGTTCAATAAAATTTGAATTGTACTCTTAATAGTTGATAACGTGAGAATTATGCTGACTGTTATTTACATCAATTATTTAGGTAAATGAGAAAAATATAATTTGCATAATAATTTGGAACAGGGTGTAATATCAATAAGTGACATACACATATAAAATATTGCATCAATAGGAGCCTTTCCCCCTTTGTCTTATTTTACAAAAGTGTAAATTTAAAAAGAAGTTTGCACTTTTATAAAAACCCCTTGGGTGCAGCAGCAGAAACGAGATCTTCACTGGCTTCAATGCTTCTATACAAGAAACATTGCAGGTAGATTGCAGCAATTGTCATCCATGCACCCTGTGTCCCAATGCTTCACGATGAGGAGCACAGATGTTCACTGCTAGATTAAAGGTAAGTAATAAAATTAAAATGCCTTAAATAAAATAAAAATGGAACATACCAACATTTCAAGTGTTCCTTAAAGACAGAAGTTAGACACACATCTGCTGTGACAACCTTTTCTTCTCATCACAGGCTATGAGCAGTGGATTCAGGCTAGCCAAAGTTTATCTTTGCCATCCAGAGTTAGATGGCCTTGGACAGAATATGCAAAAATGCAACTAATACATAATTCAATCCTCTGCTAAAGGGCCAAACTTTTATTGCCAGAGAAAGCCCTGATTTTTACCAAAAGATTCTGTGTGACAGAAAACCTTGGGAAAGCATCCAAAGGCTCATAGTACCTGTGCCCTTAAAAGTTTTAGAAGTTAGTGTTTATAGTTACCATTTTTAGCACTCCATATTTCATATATTGAAAAATCCATGTTATTACTATTAGTGTATTCATTGACAGCAGATTAAAATAGCTGTAAATCACATTCACAAGTATTTGCACAATAACCGCTTTTGTACTCAATTTGTCTTTTTTTTTTTTTTTTAGTTCTCCTGGTTTTGTTCTCCTGTTTCCATTACATTTTAAAAGCACTTGTTTTTTTTAATTTAAATAAGTGTTCAGTGGTTAGTCTGCTAAGACGCATTACAATAAAATTAGGTACCCTACACAGTAACACAAGTGTTCCCATGAACATACAGAAGTACAATGATGACCTAAAAGGTTTTTGTTTTGAGGGTACCTAACATTTCTCCTATTTATGTTGTTCTGGTGAACAATATGCACATTTAATGCTTTCAGCATAGCTCAGTGGCACATTTTTAGAGACACTTAGATTGAGGGTTTAATTTGTTAAATTCCGGGTCTTAGGAATGTTTTTGTGAAATTTTTTTACTTAAAAGGACACCATAGGCAGCACCTTACCCACTCCAGATGATTGGAGTGGTTATGGTGCCTGGAGTCTGTGGTCGATGCATCAGTGTTAAGTAGGTACTCACTATTTAGCAGAGATCTTCAGTCTCCAGGAGCCTGGACCCCTATGACAATATATCAGAAGCCGAGCTGTGTTTCCATCTTGTGCCATGCCAGGGGTACCAGGCTATGATATATATACATAAAGGGCTTGCAGACAATCACTGCCACACTGCTTGATATGGTGGGAGATGGAGCATAGCTCTCTTCCACTATATTGTCATTGGGACACCATAACCAATTCAATCCACTGAAGGGTAATGGCGCCTACAGAGTTCATGTTTTTGTGCCCGCACAATGACCCTGCTGCTTTTGGCCAGCTTGAATCCCTCTTGATTTCACTGGTGATTCAAAATGTAATTTCTTGACTGTTGCCATATACTTAACATATTACTTAATAAATCAAATTATCAGGAGGCAAGGGACATTTCTGACTTCTTATTGAGTCTGGAAGAAGTGCTGTAAAATTGACTTGGATTAATATTTGAGCTGATAATTGTCTATGATCCAGCTATCATTATCTTTGAAATGAACCTGGTACTATTCACGTATGCAGACTCAATGTGAGATGAACAAATTGTGAGGTACACAACCCCTGTATTATGCATAAATAAAACTGGTATATGCATTGCCTCAGATATTTCCAAAGCAGGAACCCTGTATTTAATATTGTTTTTACTGTGCAGGTCTCTTCTCATGGCATCCTGTCTTCATGGCCACCGCAGTGAGTACTCAATATAGTTTAATTAGAGAACATATTCTTACATTTTTTTCACTCTGATCTACCCTCTCTTTTGCACCCTTTACCTAATTTTTCACACCTGTCCCAAATTCTAAACTCTTAATTGTCTTTCTGTCCTTACCCTCTTTTAATTTTCAAACCATCATTTCATTGGTTTTTGTACCCCTACAGATTTGCTTATGTTAATATTTAAAAATCTCATTTCTGTTTACAGTTTTGCCTGTGTATGACTGAAGGCGTACTACTGTTGTCTCCTGATACTTCTCCTTTCTGCCCCCTCTCCCGAACGTCCAAGACCCGACTGCATTGGTTGGCACAATTATTTGTGTTTGTGTATGCAAGTGTTGGCCTGACTTTCATTATCTGGAGCAAGAACCGTAGTGAGCAACCACACTTTACCTCTTGGCACAGCATTTTGGGCATTATCACAATTGCTGCCACATCCTGCCAGGCTTTCTGGGGCTTTGCATTGTTGTGTCCCCGCCTGGTCCGTGTCACTGCAGTATCTCGCCTTAAACTATACCATGCCACATGTGGCCTAATAGTGTATCTATTATCTACTGGTACTGTCTTATTTGGCTTGTGTTCAGACTGGTTTCAGGCACAAGTTAAGGGACCTGTGTGGTATGTCTGCCTTTGCGTTCCTCTTTACCCTGCTCTGATCATTATGAACCAGGTAATAGACATTTACCTGCCAAAAAGGAAAGGACAGATGTGACAGAATGCAATTTTACCAAGAGCTGCCCAGAAGAAGAACATCTACATGCTGGCACTGAGCAGAAAGTAATTGTTTTTAAGAACTTTATCACTTTACATTTTTATGTATGCATGTACACTTATGGTGCATACATGAACATATTGCAGTCTTGCACTTTTTGAACTGTGGAATTAAAACTTAAACAAGCTAACAGATAAATTTTAAACAACTAAAAACGAGGACATTCGGGGCAGTGTGCATATATCTGCACCAATTTCATCAACCTCTGCTTATTTTTGTGCTCCTTTCTATTTTTTGGGTGAAATGTGTAGGTTACCTTATGGTATCCTACATACAGTTCCCATTTCCTTCTGAAAGTTTATTACAGTTTTATAGATTTTTGTTTGTGTGTGGTTTGTTTATTTTATGCAGTCATGTCCTGCCATCTGGCCAAGGATGACTGGATTCCTCAAAGGATGGCTGTATCATCACCCATTTATCTTGAAATGTTAAACACCAGCATTATCCATTTACTTCCAGCCTAGGCCATGGATGGATTTCTTACTAGACATAGTTTCCTCAGGGATAGGCATCCAACACAGATGAAATAAAATCAAGCCTAATATTTATCTGTGTCACTGTGAAATGTTACAGAGCTAGTGTGTTTCTTTGTGATGTGTATATATTTTTCATGGTGGATTGAAATTGACTTCCTTCTTGAACAGACTTGTTCTTTAAGCACTTATGAATTCAGATTTGAAAAAGCAAATCATGCCTTGGCACGACGCTAACTGCACAAATGTATTTTATTCTTTTTTTCAATCATTTTATATGGACTTGCAATTATTAAAAGCAAGGAAAAAAAATTTGGGGCCTATTTTACAATACTGAGCATTACTGATCAAGCGTGTTTCTACGAATGTATGTATGGAAATTAATTTTATAGCACTGACAAAATACATATCAAGGAATAGCGCTCATAAAAAAGTTTTTAATTTTACAAGGCTACTTTAAATCACTTATCCCAGCAATCAAATATGGCCATATTGCGTTAAGCCCACCACTACGCCACAGTACAACCGTATCAGTGGGTCCTACACTAATTTTAACATGGGAGATAAATTTAAATGTCTTCCTTAATCTATATTTTGTATAAATTCTGGTCTTTACGGCAGCACCACTGCTGAGAAATCTGGATGTGCCCCCAATTCACCCCAATTTTTTACCAATTCTTTGTTAATATAACTGAAAATATTAGAGCACATGTATGACCTTCATGTACATTATATTGTAATGGATATATACGGTAAAAGCTCTTTCCCCCGAATTTCCTGGCTTTCTAGCTCATGATTACCTGCAGGGTGTTTGGCCTGATAAGCCAGAGAATGCACTAAAATACGTATGCATTACAAAATAATGCACACAGAGGCTGTAGTACATGTAAGCGTTATTTTAAATAATAATGATATACATTTATAATACTTTTTCTTTAAGAAGCCATAATGTTTGGCTTCTGGAGACGCTGTTTGGGATATTCTCTAAATAAAGTGTCTTGTAAAATTGCTATGCATTCATCAGCATTTATCATGATTTATGGTATGAAAGATGACAGAAAATAATTCAGCACAAATAAAGTTATTTTTGAAAGCAATAAAATAAAATATCAATTGATATTAAATGAATGTCCCTAAAGTCACTTTACATTGTCTATTGCATTCAAGGCACTCCCTTATTTATCAGCAGTGTGTGCATTTGTTGAGTAAATGATTGGAACATGAGCATTTATACAGTATATTAAGGCACACTGTATATGTTGTGGCACCAAAGCACATATATATGTATGCGCAATATGTGGCAGCTCTGTTTAACTGTACAAGTTGAGGGATTAGAACTTTACTGTATTCATTGTCTGTTACATGGATATTTGATATTTATTTAGATCTGTCATGGTTCTTATTTATCATGTCTTTGTGAGTGATTCTGTGTTATCTTGACAATAAACTTGTCTTTGTGAAACATCTGCCTATCCGAGCATAAAATCCCATTGTGTGTACTTTATTTCATTAGTCGTCTCGACCCCAAACACTAGATCAGGGTTGTCAATCAAATGTGGTCATTTGGGAATGAAATCCTGCAAGAGCTTTAAGTTATATTTAACATATGATTAATTAACAGTGTTTGCTGCAGTTGCAAAAAGTCTGTAAGAGTACTTTCAATGCATAGGCCTAAAGCGGACCTGTAAAGAACCCCTTAAAAACTTTACGTCAATTAATCAAGCATAATAACTGTCTTTTGTCTTTATGTTGCCTTATTTCTATTTTTTTTTAGTTTTTGCTTGTTTTAAATGGGTCAGCAGCTTTAAAATGATATGTTACATTCTACCCACTAGGGATCTTGTTATGGTATTGCATTTACTTATTCCTGATAAGGGTGCAAACATGAAACTTATTTAACATTATATACAACGAGCAGCCAATCTGCTCCCTTCATACTATTCCTTATAGCTGTGGCTATATGTTAAACGCATCGCATTGCATGATTCTATAGCGGAAGCTATTACATTGTATGGAATTCTATGTTTTGAACTTTGTGGCAAATGTAAGTCCTTTACTGTTTCCGCTTTCCAAAGTTGCCAGGGGTATTGCTAGGCTACAAAAATACTTAGAGCTTCAGTAGAAAGAAAATTTCAGTGATGATTACATACCCTGGAGGTGTATGCCAGACATGGACTTTATCATCTGATAAACAGCTACACTTGTCATTTCAGGATATCCCTCACAGACACCAAACTATCCCCCAAATCTTCTTCAATTGCCCAACATCCCCCAAGGTAATTTTTCCTCTACCTCTACAGCCACGTACTTTGTTCCAATATCTTCACACTTGTATTTACCGCTGCTGGAAATACATTGCTAGAGCCATATGCAGGAAAAGGCATGTTTTTAGCTTGCAAACAATTTGGCTCCACACTGAGGCACAGAATCTGCCCTGGAAGACATCTGCGGCTAAACAGGCCCACATTCAGTGCTTTAACCCCTATAGCTTGCCTCTTTGGGCAGCAACACACCACTTCCTCAATGATGTTCATCCAAAGACACAAAAAAAGAAGAAATAGACCAGATGTGTAGTACTGTGCAAAATTGCAATTATTGTACTTATGGTAAGTATTATGCTCACCTTGTTAAGAGCCTTACGTTCCTGGCTCTAAGGGTGAACAGCAGTGTGCTAATTTCTTGGGATGGCACTCCCCAATAAAGTTCCAAATAGAAACAAAATATACCAGGTATATAAAATATAAAATAAATGCTTAGGGGAAGGTCTTGGCGCCGGTCGAGGGGTGGTCGTAATGACGTCACAGAAAAAAAACTGTGTGTCAGCCTCAACCCCTCCAGTGGCACCCTGATCCAAAATCCCCATTTTGCAAGTGGAAAATTTGTTACACAGTTTTGTTTATCACGACTTGTGTGGAAGAACTGAGTTTGCCCTTTGATGATATCACATTGCATTGATCGTGAAGGCAGCATCCATGTTATATGGCAGAACACGTCCCTTTAAATATTAAGTCGGCATTGGTGAAGAACCATCACTGCAGTTAATGTGCTCTGCACCTGCTTTCCTTACAGCACTCCTAACAAAACAAAACCGCTTTTGTTAACCTTAGACATTTAGCTGCTCTGAATACATTTAACATCCAGCTGTTCTTACTATTGCACGTTTAGTCACGTGTTACAGAAATTTACTTACACATTCAATTTATTCTCTGATTCAGAGCAGGTGAGCACTGTGTACACAGTTGTAGGGGTAACCTAGAAATGACAGGTGAGCCAACAAAAATGATTATGGATAGTACATATTTAAGCCCTGCCTCACTTCTTTAAATTTAAGAACACTAGAATACGCACATTAGTTTAGTGCAACTACATGTCCCCTTGAAGAAGGCACCGCAATAAAAACATACTCGTTTTCCTGGCTCTATAGGGTTCTTGGGTCCCCCTCACCCTCAGGGCCCCCCACCCACCGGGCTCTAGGTGGAGGCAGGGGTTAATCCCTTACCTTTTTTCCAGCGCTGGGGACTCTCCTCCTCCTTTCCCATCATCGGCTGAATGCGCGCACATTCAGCCAGTCTCATAGGAAAGCATTCTCAATGCTTTCCTATGGACGCTGGCATATTCTCACTGTAAAAAAATAAGTGAGAAGCGCGGAAGCGCCTCTAGCGGCTGTCAATGAGACAGCCACTAAAGGCTGGATTAACCCATTTGTAAACACAGCAGTTTCTTTAAAACTGCTATGTTTATAAAAAAAAAAAAAGGGTTAATCCTAGAGGGACCTGGCACGCAGACCATTTCATTAAGCTGAAGTGGTCTGGGTGCCTATAGTGGTCCTTTAAAGTAATTACTAAAGAGGGCTGCTATTTGGTGACGATAAAAAAACCCCACAATTATACAAATTGCCTTCACTATCCAGTATTAAAATGGTCCCCATTGTGCTAGATAAGGCAATATTGTTACTGCAAACAATGTCTTGTGTGCAGTCTACTGAATCCTGATGAAGATAAAATCCCATTATATATTGTTCCAACCATTGAAGATTCGCTGAACATAGCATGGGAACTCAACTTAGGATCCCTTAGCTACGATGTAAAGAATGTGTTTAACTAATCATACAATGAAGAATGGGTTATTATGCTAATGCCATGGCAATGATTTGGGTCTATGTTATCTGCATTATTAGATCTCATGTTACATGAGAACTATAACATTTTTGGTAACATAAATCAAACGTTTTTATTTCTGTAAACATTGTACTTAAAATCAAAATGTTCTCCTCCTTCACCCCATGAATGTAGTGTTGTATATATTGTTTACTGGAAAGCTATAATTTCTTCATGCTGTTGGGTTTGTATTTAAAAAAAATAAAGTTCCCAGGGAAATATGTAGTATTTATATGCAGCAATAGGACAAGAATTAAGAATGATTTCATTAGGATGGTATGACTAATGGGGTTATTAACTAAAGTCTGAAATAAGCAAAACCTTTCGGCTGCATACAAGGCCATTCGGATTGCAAAATCCAGACATTGTGCATGTCCAGGCCCCCTAACGTGCTTGAGTTAGGTCTGGATTTCAACTGGACTGAAGGATGGATGAAATCCAGACCTGGATGCTTCAAATCCAAGTACTGAAGTTTCAACTCCAGGTATGGATTTAAGAAAAGAAAAACAATCTTAACGATTTGCTTGCAAATAGTTAAAAACTACAGGCAGTGCAAGGGCTAACCTCCACAAAAAAGTTAAAAGTAAATAAATAAAAACCATGTGGGGCTCAATAATAACATATACATAAATATATATATAAATATAAAATATCTGTATTTTTAATGCTACAGTCCTGATGTGGCTATTTCGTTAAAGCCTCCCCTAGTGTGTAAATTTTTTTTAAATGACATTTTCCACCAAATCTACCATTGCAATGCCTTGGCTCCCCCCTTGAGTTAGCAACCGATGGGGGCATTTAAAACTTCCGACTGCTAGAAAGGCCCCATCCACGTCAATCCCTTTCCCCACCCATTGCATATGGGTGTGTGCTATTTAATAAAAGAAAAATGGGGACATCCTAATGACCATGGGATCTACTTTAATATAAGGGTGGACTTGCCCCCCCCCCATATATACACACTGTCCCCCATACACACACACTGTAGCCCTCTCACACACACTGCCCCAATACACATGCACCGTACCCCCCCACATACACACACACAGCCTCCTCCCCATACACACTGCCCCCATACACTATACCCCTCACGCACACGCTGCACCCTTCAAACACAGACACAATGCAACCACCAATGCAACCCTCACACATCACGTCCTTCACAAACACAGTGCAACCACGTGAACACATTGCACCCCTCACGCACACACCACCGCCCCTACCCCTAATACAGCCCCTATCCTGGCAGACCCCAGGTAAGTTGTCATACTGTTCTTAAACTGTTTCACTACTTACCTTGGGAGGGCACCACAGCACTCCTGGCACCATAGCCACTAAAGCGTGCTGTAGTGGTTATTGTGCCTCGATTGTTTCTTTAAATAATCTACCAGGGCCCCTGCCGAGATTAGGTTCTGGATCCACCCCTGACAGGGAAACATTTCTGCTGAACAGTGGCCCAGTATATGCCGCAGCACTGTTCATGTATACAACCTAGAAATTTTTGACTTGGGGAGCCTTGGAAAAATATTGAAATATTAAGGGCGCCTTGAACCTAAAAAGTTTGGGCACCACTGGGTTAGCTTGTACGTTAGTAAATTGATTAGTAGATATGCCTCCACCTGCCACATGGTTTTAAACCTCCTTTATGGTAATGTGGGGCCTGCATAAAGTATTGACCTGCATAAAGTTTTTTTAAAGGATCACTACAAACTTATTTTCCTGACACTATACAACCTTTAGGTCCCCCACCCTCAGGGACCACCTCCCTTCAGCTACTTACTTTAATCCAGTGCTGGGCTCCCTCTGCGTTGGTGTCCTCTCCTCCCCCTCCGACGTCAGTTCCCGAGTGGAGCCGAATGCGCATGCACGGCCAGAGCCGCGCGCGCATTAGAAACGTCCATAGGAAAGCATTTCTTAATACTTTCCTAAGGACGTTCTGCATGTTGGATGCAAATTTCGCATCCAGCGTCGCAGAAGTGCCTCTAGCGGCTGTCAGGAAGACAGCCATTAGAGGCTGGATTAACCCTGCAATGTAAACATAGCAGTTTCTCTGAAGGTTTAAAAACTGGGGGACCTGGCACCCAGACCACTTCATTGAGCTGAAGTGGTTTGGGTGACTATAGTGGTCCTGTAATTTATTTTAAAATATTTTTAAAACTTTTTTAAATGTAGTGACTGGCTAGGAAGCACTGGGCAGCTGCTACATAATTAACCCCCACGCTGCTGAGGGTTTTTAAATTATTTGCCAGTTGCTGTTTGCGCTTTCACTGCAAAAAACAAGTGAAGAATAATTTGCAAATGTGTATCCTGTTGAAAGCATTTGGTTCTGAATTATAGTTAAAGTGGTGCCTTCGTGAATATTCCTAATCTGCATTGATTTTAATCTGGACACTAAATGTATCTGAGCGATTGCTGGAGATTTGCTTGCGCCGACCAGAATTTGGAATTTTCACTGGATTTTGTCCATCCGTTCGAAATCCTGTGTTTAGTGAATAGACTTGTAAGAAACTTTAATAAATAAGTGATTACACTTGCACAGCATATTAATTCCACAGATGAATATCAGCATTTTTAGTTGCAAACATTCTTTCAGTCTCAGCATGAAAATCCTTAAAAGTAAAAGTATACTCTCATAGTGTAGAATCGCAAAATAAAATAAAATGTTACTGAGCATTCTGGGATAAAACATTTTCTTCTATAAATATATCTTCATTATAGCAATCCCATCTTCAAAAGCAATTATGCCCAAAATAAGAATGCAGATCTATTACCTTAAGATACTTTTAGTATATCCTCAAGTTATTTATTTTCATGTACAAAAAGCACTAACATTGTATTAAACAGCTTATCTCTTACGTCTAGGTTGCCTCACTACCATCTTTCCCACAAAATAAAACTGGGTGTTCTATTAATTTTTGCCCCGAAAAACGCACTAGGGCATATTTTCGTGGGATGTCTTATTTCGGGGGAAAACGGTAGCAAGCATGTGCAAGAAAGCAGGTCTACGTTTGGGGGAATTCCCTCGAACATGGACCAGTTCACTTGGGTATGGAATCCCGAGAAACATGGGTTAGCTTACTAGGGCATAGAATCCTGTGAACATGCGAACATAGATTAACGAACAAGCGACAAGGTCTTATTTTCAGGGTAGGGCTTATATTGCAAGCATCCCCCGAAAATAAGCCCTAGATGTCTTATATTCTGGAAAAGATGGTATCAACTCTGCAGGTTAATGCAACATTGGGGACGCCACAGGTCAAATTTATTTTATTTTGTTTAGGTTTAAAATGTCTAAAATGGCCATATTCATTGCTGTTTTTCAATAAATGACAATTTTGGAGAATTAACAAAGGAGCTGCAAGCTTTAAAGCAGCTCTGTAACCTTCTGGGGTTTTTGCATATTTTATTGCTTGCAGGGTGGTGACCGGGGGTATGGGGAAAGGTGAGTTTTACTTACCTGAAGATGTCCCTTGCCACTGCCACCATTTTCTTCTGTGGGTTTCTCTTCAGTTCTTGGCACTTCTTCTGCCAGGAGCCAACATCAGCGCTGTGCTCTTGCTCATGCATACGGGAACCTCCATAGACAAATCCACTAGTAGTTCCGCCTTTTTGTCACATTTTATCAAGTGTAGGAAAAATACATACAACAATTGTGTTTTTTACCCAACACATGAACAGGAGTAGGATAAAAAGGCGGCTGCTAGAAGCCGCAAAGCAGATTTTCCTTTAAACTACATGTGACGTAACGGTTTCCAAAATCACAATAAAAATAGCTATAAAATAAATATTTTCATAATTACCAGATCTCGTTAAAAATTGCAAACATATCTTCTACTGTCTGCTGCAAAATGCACAATTGATAAACTCTAAATAGGCAGCTCATCAGCTGTGGTGAAGGGGAGGGTATATTCTGCACCTTTAAACTCTCTCACCCACATAATGAGAGAAGAGGCTTCCTTTTGGTTATTATGGTGATTCATGGGAAATCAGTACTGAGGTTTTTTTCCCCACATAAATAGCTAGTAGGCTGAATCATTTAGCACTTCAGTGAGTAGCTGGTGAAATCCTAAAATCTGCACTCAGACTTACAAAGACTGGAACTATACAAATTCAGACACCACATTTCTCCAAACCAACTTTGTATATTTCTGGAATCTGTGAATATGCATTTAAAAGGTTACTCCAACTACCATGACCACTTTACTGATCTGACGTGCTCATGGTGCTTTAAGTCTGTATGTGCAGCATTTCATTATAAGATCTAGCCTCCGCTAGCATCATTAGACAGCCCAGAAGAAGAGGTCCAGAATGGCTAATGTCAATGTCGGTTGAAGACAACCAATGGCGGCATGGCCCTATACCCTGCTGCCGAAGTCCTACGCACAGCCTGTCTTCTCTGACATCCCTACACCAAGAGCAAGTAACACAAGTGGATGAAGATGGGGCTGCTGGGAGAACTTCTGTTTTTTACTTTTGAAGGGAAGAGGGTATCAGAAGAGTAAAAATGACACTGACCAAAAGCACTGTTTTTTTGTTGTTGTAGTAGTAGCCCATTTAATTGCCTTTTATGAATACCTGTACTGCAATTTCAGCTCAGTTAGTATTTTGCAATCTGGAGTTAAGGAAATTCTCTTCATTGATTTGTGACATCTCCAGATGTCTCTATTTTCTGGTACACCTGAACAGTACATAACATGGAGTACACCCTTTATCAGGCATGACTAAAATATCAGTGATCGAGTTATCCCCTCCAAGTCCAAATCTAACACTTCTATTAAGAAATACTGTAAGCAGTTTCAAAAGCTTATTTTAAAAAAGCTACTGTTCTCTGCATGGACTTAATTTGCTATTGAAATATTTAGCTCTTTATCTCTCTGGTTTGTTCCAGGCAGTAGCTAATCCCAAACTATCTGGTCTGGAAAGCTGTGTAGTGTATCATTTTCCCTATTTCGATAAATGCACTTTAAATAGAAGAATGGGATTTTCAGTGGTCTACAATTTACTTATGAAGAACTACTGTATTGTTCTGCTAAAAAATATTACTGACTAGCAAAGAAAAGTAAATGTACCTATCGAAAAAAAAAAAAAAAAATAACCCACCCAGATCCCCATTAGATACATAACTTTCAGATGTACTAGAATCATAAAGTGTTCTGTGCAGTCATTTTAGAATTGTTAGATCAGATACAATAAGCCAACATTGCCAGTTGCCCAATCCATTAATTCAACACTCTGCAGGCTGGAGATGTGACATTTAAACTGTATATTAACTTTTAACTGCTATTAATTGTTCGCTATGGCATGCCTGTGTGCCTCCTTGAGGACATTTATGGAAACACAAAAAAGTCCAGAGAGGAAAAAGAAAATCTTGAACTGAAATCTTTATTTCCATAATCCAGACTATCGTAACGATGCAGCCAAGTTTCAATAAATAAAATAATATCTATATTTATATATTTATATATTTTGTATGTATAGCCTTTACAGGGAGCAGAGCTCAGCTGCACATAAGAGAAGACATAAGACGAGTAACGAAACGGGGATTGGCAGCGGGTACAATAGAAGGAAGGAAAACAAGGGAAAGGTTTCATGGCCTGTCTCCAATCATTAAATGATATGTAAAACCTAAAGCAAGGTGAAATACAATTTACACCACCTTTTGGAACAAAGCTTCCATCATGAGTCTGGACATTTCTATATTATCACAAAGATCTAAACAAGTTGTGCAATTGAGGGTATCTTGATATAGTTATTACTAATACAGGTTTCTATGAGATGGCTTATTTGAACCCTTTTCCCACAATTTCACAGTTTTCTCTATTCTCTTCTTTTCATTCCCTATCTGTTTCTTCCACCAATGACTTGACCAACCCACCCAACCAGGTTTCTTGTCAACTTGTGTGGCATTCCAGTTATAACTGTGTAAGGCTCATATACGCATATATGTGTGGACGTATAGACATCAAAGATCTAATTTGCTACCGCCTACAGCAAAACACATCTACAGAGATGTTTTAGACTAAAAAACTACTTTATGTTATATCTGGCAGTCTGAAATGTAACCATTGTTTCTGTGGTTTCCCAAAGTGGAAACCATGAAGATGGAAAAATTGTGCTTTGAGAGTTATATAGGCTGGCACATCTCGAGTGGCAGGTCTGTTTTAATCTGGCCATAGCTTGCCTTGAAAAGGGATCTGATTATATTCAATGTGAGAGGACAGATCAGAGCTAATGCTGGAGGGGACGTGGCAGTCACGGATGTTAATATAAGGTGTCTGTAGTGCACCATTGTCTGCAGTTTAACAGGATGGAAACCATAAGAGGATAAATGAAGAGGAAAAAAACAGTAGTATGTTTTTGTCTACCTTGGCCAGCTTGTGTTATTGGATGTAATTATTTCACCCTAATTTGAGCATATGGGGATAAAAGTACATTAGACATAACTGCAAGATGCTGACACATGCTTTTTAAAATCAATTAAAAGGCATGGATGGGAAAAATGGGGGCATCTCGTGTTAAGAGGTGTTGCCATCAATAAATGTTGCATTCTACTATGCACTTAGGTCCACAAGAGACACTTAGTGTTGAATTATATCACATTTGCAGCAAAGCTAATGTAAATGTGATTGATAATGATATGATTGCATTATCTCTGACCTTTCAAACATCCTCTCCAGTTATTTCCCACACTCAGCCTTTAAGCTTATTCCCATCTCACAGTTTGGATGCTGCATTATCTCTTGCTCACTCCCACTGTTTCCAATTGCATTTTACGTCTACTGTGTCTTTACTCTTTTTTTGCTGTGTGTCCCATTCTCTAATTAGCTTCTTGAGCTTCAATCCGACATGCACATGCTGCGAGTCTGGGGAACTCACGGTGGTGAGAGAGTTAAACCACTGTAATGAGCACATTTCAGACTAATTCCTCTGCTGTGAGTTTTTGTTGCTTACACTACGATAGGAGTGTCGGAGAATACTGAACTTATGGATCCTGGGTCTGAGAGCTTCCTGTGAGGTGAGGATGGCTGAAATGCTGAGCCCTTTATCCCAGGTACTTCCTGTGAACCATTAGGCTTCAGCTTGCCATTTTGGCCTCGCAGATCTCCAGGAGGTTCTAGAAAGGCCACATGTCGACTAAGAGCTGCCTTGTCACTAGTGGTTTCATGGTTGGGAGTGGCACTAAGCACTGAGGAGTGGATGCTCTCTCTGTCTTCTCCTTGCCCTCTATCTCCTGGTCGGCACCAGCAGCGACATGGTGTAAGATAAAGATATATCAGTACAAGGATGACACTAGCCACACATCCCACCAGTGTGGTGTATGCTGTGTTTAGGGTCTCCTGGTGCACATGCTGTGTGAAGTTAAACACATTAAGTGTCACGTACAAAGTCTCATTCAGCAACTTGCCATGTGCGTAGCATGTGTATGTCCCTATGTCTTCCAAACGGATAGGTTGTATCTGCAGACTACCATTGCTTAGCACTGATACACTACTGCGGTTACTCGAACGCTCACCAGGTTCAGTCTGTACTGATTCATTACCAGGAGTAACCCACACCTGGGTCATGCCTCTTTGTTTGGTGTCACAGTTCAGAATAACTGTCTGCCCTAGATATGCCTCCATACCAGCCTCTCGCACCACGCTGCAGTTGAGCCCCTCACTACTATTAAGAGCGAAAAGACTGATTAAGTTAACCTTGTTTTGAGAGATAAGTCTGCATTTCAACTCATCTCGGAAATCTATCGCAGAAGAAAGTTTTCGGACATGCCAATTCCAAAACAGTCCATACAGTTCACAGTCACAAGTCAGAGGATTACCATGTAAGTACAGCCCATTGCTTATCCGGGCAGGTAATGCACGGAGCTGTGGCAATGGTAGGTTCTTAATCTCGTTGTATGAGATGTCAAGGAGTGCTAACTCTGGCAATTTCTCCCCGTCCCTTACCAACTCCAAAGGAAAACGTGTCAATCGGTTTTGGCTTAGGTAGAGTTTCTGCAAGAGGCTCACTTCATCAAAAGCACTGCGATCAATATTTGTAATTGCATTCTTGAAGAGAAGAAGCACCTCCAGCTGTTCCAAGGCGCTGAAGACATTCTCCTCCAGTGAATGCAGCTTGTTGTTGGACAAATCTAGGTGACGTAGGTTGGGGGTTAAGGAGAAAGCATCAGCAGATACAGAGGTAATAGAATTGTGGGAAAGCAGCAGTGTGTGTAACCTCTTTAGAGGTAATGGAGTCCACTCTGCCCGCAGGCGATGTATGTTATTGTGACTTAGGTCCAACATTGCAGTGTAGCTGGGAAGACCACTAGGCACAATTGTCAATTCCTTCTTAGCACAGCTTATAATATCACTGGCACAAACACAGTTACTCTGACAGTTAAGTGGAGATGCTCCTGATCTTGTCACTGCCACCCACAGCAGGAAAAGTTTAAAGACCCACAATTGTTGCAACCAGAGGGCACACCGAATCGTCATAGTGAGAGTGGGAATATAGGCACCGCCAGACCACTTTTAGGACATTGTACCTGTAAAACCCAGGTAAAAATAGACACCCTGCACATAGTCTCTTCCCTCGGTATGGAGTCCTATCAAAGATGGGAATTTGGACCTTTGAATGTCAACCACAATAAATGTATCAGCCCATGGTTTAGTACAGGAAAACTCTTTTGGATCCTTTCCCAAAGGGACTCCTCTGGATCAAACCAAGTACAAGCAGAGCCCAGTGCTGTTAGACCTCTCACGAAAAAGGGCAGAAGAAACCATGGCATCCACTAAAATACTCTCCTGAAAAAAAAAAAAAGAAAGAGCACTGTTAGAAGGGATGTCTATTATATACAAGTTCTGTTTGCCTGTTCTACAGTAGATCCGTGCCTACTACACAAAGTAATATTTAAAAATACCTTATTTTTAAATACAACATTAAACATAAACCCCACCCCATGTTTTAAAATCCTTTTACACTGAGCGAAACATTGATTCATTACTTCAGGAAAAAGCATCCAATAGAATAAAAAGTTGTATTATTGCGTCCTCAGAAGGAAACCACAAAAATAGGACTTCCTAATAGTTACAGGATCATTTGGTGGATGCCAACTGAAAGTTAAGTCCAATGAAAACAAAAATAGAAAGATACATTCTGCACAACTGATAGCAAATTTCTATTGCTATAACATAGCCAACAGCAGAGCAATGTACACCTATTTCTTTCTTACAGTGCCACATTTAAATTTCCATAAACTGTACAAGTGTGATAGTGGCTGCTTAAGTTATAAAGAATTTGGAACATTGGAAAATAGCTCTCCCGAATTCTTCATTCCGGAGCACCAGAGCTAGGGTAACAAAGGAGTTAAAGTTCCATCTGTGCTTTTTGGGATCCATGGCACATTCACAGCTATATGAAAC